TATGCTGCCTGCAAACAGTATGGCATCACAGTAAGTATAAGAACATGGAAGCCTGCCAGAGAATATTAACAAACACTTACACTGACATTGTGCAATGTTCAAAATTAGGTATTTTATTAATAGACCAATGAAATGACATGATGCTTGTCCAGACCCTCGCTCTCTGTGTTTTTCATCCTGATGCATGGCTTTTTTTCCTCTAACAGGGAGAAAATGTGGCTCGTGAGCTTCAGGCTCTGGTCAAAGACTTACCAGTGGTTCTTGAGGAAGTTGGGAAGGATGCAGCAAAGTTAGAGGAGCATATCCAACTTTATACTGCTTTCACAAACTTTGTATGTGAGTGGTGAGTACATCATCAATGTACAATATACTCTTGTGTATATATATATATACTCCTTGTCCTTGTACATCTTTTATGGAAAGTTAGTTTGTTCTTGGTGCGTACCATTTGCCTCGGAGGTCGGAGTTGGGAATGACATTGACGTTTCAGTTAACAAGTCGGAAAACCTTGCGTGGCCAGTCGTTATTTACAACTAGCCAGGTTAGCCATAGTTACGCCGGTTGATTTAAAAAAAAAAAAAAAACGCATTGTGCGATAGTTACTAAACACTGTAGCAACACGTCCACAGACAGCAGCTGGACAGCACTTTGTGTACAAAAATGTATATGAGGCACAAGTACACAGAAGTGCTAATAAGCAGTATAAACTATAGCTTTCAGTAACTGTTGATACTCGGAGCAGCCATCTTGGATCAATGAAGTCAGGGTAGTGCGGTTCTCCTGACTTTTGAAGTCAGAAATCTGACTTAAGGGGGCGTTCCCTTTGAAATTTCCGACTTTGAACTCGGAAATTCCGACTTCCATTGTCTCATGGAACACACCATAAGTACACATCCCTAACAGCAATACATCAATAATAAAACATTTGGTTTGTTCTAAAAACCACATTGTCATTTGTAGGTCAGAACCAGTCCTGCCCATGCTGACATTTGCCCAGAAGAGAGGAAACGCAACATTTTATGAGTGGAGAACGGGGAAAGTCCCCACAGTTATTGAAAGGCCAATTGTGGAGGAAGCTCCTCCTGATGCAGTCACAGAGGATACGGTTGGTTTCACTGTCGTTATATTATGTATTATTCAGTTTCACATATTAGAAAACTTCCTATCTTACTTTAGTTTAGAGGAAAAGTCACTTCCTAATTTATAAATTCTCCTTAAATCCATTTTATTTTTGTCATACAGTTACTTTAAAATCAGGCTCTAATTCAGATTATCACAGTTACTAAACAAGATATGTAATACAGCCCCAGGACTCATGTGGCAGCTCTGTGCTGCTGTGAGATATCCAAATGCCAAAAAAGGTCAAATAAATGTGTTCATGTGTTAATTCACAACTGATTTTTTCTCACCACTGATTTTGTGTTTCTGTAGATTGACTGGGGTGAATTTGGCAAAGGCACAGATACTCTGGGTGTAAATTCTGGCATCACAGTTGAGGATGGAATAGACTGGGGTATCAGCCTGGAGCCGAGCTCTGAGGTAAGAGACAACATACACCTTATAAATATATTCATAAAGAATATATTAATATGTAGTTTACATTCAATGTACATACGTCTTATATTATATTCAGCATTACATCCTTTCTTATTAGGGAATTTGTAACTGTACTGAAAGTAACAGATAAATGGCTGAAATAGGTTTCTAAAAGCATGTCATAGCGTTAAGTGGTTGAAATCGCTTGCTAAAAGTAATGGATAACCAGCTGATATGAAGTGGTGTTTGAGTTCATCTGTTAGGGGCTGTGGGGGCACACCCAGCTGAAAAGATTGATAACCTCTGCTCCACTATGCCTATTTCTGTTTGTCTCCCTGAACAGGACGCTGGTGCTGGTGGTATTGACTGGGGTGACAGTGAAGCAGCTCCCATTGAAATTGAAATCGTAGACGCGGGCACAGACTGTAACTACACTTCTTTTTTTAGATCACCATTATGGCTCCACAACTTATCACATGCTCAGCTGTTGACATTTCTGTTTGCTAAAGACATGTGTCCTCTTGTAGGCCCTGAGGGTGTGGCGAGGGGCGAGGATGCCTTATCTATACTGGAGAACTCTCAGTCACGCAGCCAGTTTATTGATGAGCTAATGGAGGTAAAGACCCAGTCATGTATTGTCAAATTAACCTTGTATGATCTTTATGTAAAAGGTCATGTTGGCAAAATTGTGATTTTAGTGCTCAAACAAAGAAAGATATAGAAAAGTATAAACACTGGAGATTATTTTCATTACTTATTCATTTTTTAAAAATCATTCATATAGTAAAACATGTTATGTAGTTGAAATGGCCGTCATATTTTCCCATAGTCCAAGGTGATGTCTTTAAATTGCATCATCTTCAGCCAGAGCTGTTTCAGTGAAGAAGCTTCAAAAAGGCGCTGTCACCACCTGCCCTGCTGTAACTATGATAAAGTTAAAGACCAGCTGATGAACATAGTGGAGCATTTAGCAGCTGAAGAGACGGATCACTTTTTCATCACTTTCCTCCCACTTTATATAGAGCCTAAATCTTTCCCTTCCGCCCAATGGGACCTTTCTTCAGAAAAAAATATATACACATGGAAGTTCTTTGGCTTCAGTAACATTAGCTCCAGTCACATACGTGACTTTTGGGTTTGTGGTCTTACATTAAAACAATTTTACAACAAAGTGCAACTTTCTTGACTTGCAAAATTATATTTTAAATTGACAAACATCATATGTGTTATTCAGTGCACAGTTCAAATGGGATAAAAGAATTTGTTGTCTCTCGTCGTTGACTTCCGTACATAGTTTTCCAAAATAATGTCCCCTGTTGGTCCACCGGAAGGGGAGAGACTTATGCTCTCTATAAAGTGATATGTCAGTATTGTACAGTCACATAAAAGTAGACTAAATGGTAATTAATAATTGTGGGGTACACAGATGGTTTAAGGAGGGCCACCAGTTTGGTAATTAATTTATTGGATGGTATTTGAATGATAGATTAGATCATCTATCAGATTTAACAAGTGACACTGGATTCTTGTGTTCGGACAGCTGGAAGTGTTCCTAACCCAGCGCATTAGTGAGATGGGAGAGGAGGGAGATGTGGTAGCCATGAGCCAGTTCCAGCTGGCCCCCTCTGTCATCCAAGGCCAATCCCGTGAGCATATCCGGGAGATGTTGTCAAGGGTGCAGGACCTTGTGGGCCGGCTCACCTCTCTCCGGATGCAGCACCTGTTTATGATCCAGGCCTCGCCTCGGTATGCTGCCACAACTGATCCTCCTCACAGTATCAATTCCAGTCAGCAGCAAAAGCATAATACAAAAGGGATGAGAATTGGAACCATGTTCTTCCCAGCAAATGTTTTTTTTTATTTTCTCATTATTGTTTGTATGAAATGTGTTGTTTAGGTATGTTGAACGTGTGTCAGAAGTGCTGAGACAGAAGCTGAAGCAGGCAGACATTCTTGTACTGAAGAGTGCCACAATGGCTGAGAAAAGGCAGGAAGCTTTAGAGGAGCAGTCCAGACTGGAGCCTCGTGTTGACCTGCTGGCAGGATGCACCCGCGAACTCCAGAAACTGGTATTGGATTAATCTTTCAATTTATCTAAGTTCAAAGGGTTGGCGATTCTCCATCTTACTAGAAAGAGATGGTTGTGTAGAATTGTTTCCTTCCTTCGAATACAGTAAACATAAAAATATTACAGGTTATTACCATTATATCCATGTTAATATAAACAATACACAGAAATTAATATATAAAACACAGAGGACTCATAATTACACACCTTGAAAGATCTCATGAGTGTTGTTTGTCTTTGCAGATTGAAGCTGACATTTCAAAGAAATACAACAAAAGGCCTGTCAACCTAATGGGGGTCCATATATAGTGAACATCACAGATGTTCGCTGAATTTTTTTTTTGTCATGATCTACTAGGAGAAATAAAAGTGGTATTTAATTTTAGGTATTGAGTGTTCTTTACATTTTCTCGATCGACACTGGGTAAGAAACATTTCACATTTTAGAAATGTGTGTTTGTGAAAGGCCTTTGTGTGTTTATATAACAGACAGTTTGACAGTTCTGTCAAATATTGGGTTTATCCATTTATTAATGCATCCACTTCATGTTTGGTTAAATTTGTTTTTACTGCATAGATTATTTTATTTTGTATAATCTTTTTTTTTTTTACTTCAATTTAATATGTATAATATATATAGAACAAAGATGACAGAACCAAGTCATTATCATAAACTGTATATAAAACAAGTAAAGTACTTACTATTGCATATTAAATAAATCAAGACATAAAATACCAATACATTTAAGGGTGGATAAAAAAATAAAGTGCAAATAAGGCATACTTATGCTGCTTAAATCTCTTAAAATAATTTTTTTGTAAGCACACATTTCTTTTTGTTGTTGATCTTGTAATTTCCATATTAAATAATAAATAATTCAGAATATGATAAAGATTTAGAAAACTTGCAGTAATGGATATCAAATATTCTAACAAATCACTTCTCACAGTTTATAATAACATTAACTTACTTAATTGCATGATTTTCTTTTTTTATAATCCTCCAACATTGGAAAAACTATTTTTGGCACTGAATATCTCAGAAACTTTAGACTTTATTGGTATAATCTGTATAATATTACCAGTGGGGGATTTTTTGGTCGGGTGATGAAAGCTTGCTACTAGAATGTTCTACGCATGCTCTGTTTGAAAGCGTGTTTTGGTGTCAAGCCGTGCTGCTAGGCTAGCCGGGCCAGCTAGCAATTCTGCAAGTCATGGTGGGCCATTCAGCGAGGAAAGGCTGGAGTATGCTATATCGTGAAACCGTGAGAGTTTTAATGAAACAGGACTTTGTGACTGTTCTTGTGTGGGAGCGGACTTTTTGGGCATGAAGACACAAGTTGCGTAATCTTCATGCGTGAGTATAAAAACCAAGATGTTTTCAATTAACTAATGCGTACGGCGATACACGGATTAACAGTGATTAATGGCGTGAGCTAACGTCAGCGGACACATGGAAGAATAAGCAGTGTTTAATTGTGAATGTCTGGATACAGGAGTGTGTTTTGGTTAATACTTTTCAAAGTAGTTGAACGCTTATTAGCAGCGAACTAGCTTAAAGGCTAGCGCAGTGTAGGCTTTGAGTTCCCCACCCACGCCTCATTCCTATTGGCCGGCAATTGCTGGAGTCATGTGTCGTCACCGCGTTTGAGGCCTTTGAATGGCTGTATAATCTGTCATTCATCTTTTCACCACTTGTTGCTAGGGAGATTGTTTGATGCTAGCCACGGCGGAAGTACAGGTAGCTGTCACTTTTTGGGGGGGTAAACAGAGATGCAAGTTAACTAGCTAACGTGGCGACAGCTTATAATTTCTACTTTATGTCACGTTACAAGGTGATTAAACATGTGTAATAGCAGTAGCCGGGTCTCAAAACACAAGGTGGCTAACACGGCTAACACAGGACGAAGATAGGCGAAATAGAGGAGGGAGGGACCCTGTCTGCCTCCTAACGTTGTCGTTAGCCAGCCCAGCGAGCTTTCTCGACTTGCGTTCACCTTCAGCTGCACCCTCAAGAAGTAGTTGTACGTCAAGGGTTAGGGTGATGCCTAAAAAGCTTGTTTTTGTATTTCCAAGAACAAAAAAAAAGGCATTACGCGGTGCGAGCAGACATGTCTAGTCTTGGGAGGATGGAGGAGTGGTTGCAGTGTTGCTACTAGCAAGTCCTTTTTTCTTTTCGTTTACATGTGCTTAATGTAGGTAGGTAAAGCTTGTGATTGTCATGTTGAACTATTGTAGTTTGCAGTAGAGCAATAACATGTCATTTATCACTTTTGTCAGGAATGGGAAGATGAGAAACGCATGAAGAACAAGGCTTTGACCACAGACTGGACTCTCTCAGAGTGGAAACCCCCATCTTGGATCTTGGACGCCTTCTAAACATCCAGACCCCACTCCCCCTCACTGTCTTTAACCACTTTTTATGTTCATGTATTCGTCTCCGTTTTTAAGTGCAAGTACAGAAGTATCGATCCCAGGTAGTTGACCCCCGCTTTTGTTTTTATTTTTTACTTTCACCTTTTGTTCCTTTGTAAAGAAATGCTTTACCTGAAAAAGTACTTCACAGAGGGCCTGATTCAGTTCACCATCCTTCTGAGTCTCATTGGGGTGCGGGTGGACCTTGACACCTATCTAAACAATCAGCTGCCCCCTCTGAGAGAGATCATCCTGGGCCCTAGCTCAGCCTACACCCAGACACAGTTTCACAACCTGCGCAACACGCTGGACGGCTATGGCATCCATCCAAAGAGTGTGGACCTCGACCATTTCTTCACCACTCGACGGCTGCTGAACCAGGTGCGCCAGCTGGATCGCTTCTCTGTGCCCAGTACCGAGCTCAACACCTGGCTAGTTCATCGTGACTCTGAGACTGTGGTGTCTGCCAGCAGCCAGTCCAGCCCCAGCATCACCCTGGACAATGGGGCCGGCTTAGAGGACATTAACAACCCTGACGCTACCCCGGCCATGAGGGGAGGAAGTGGAGCACCTGAATCCACGTACAACCTGAACGCAGCAGACAGCAGCCTGGGAGCTGTTGCCCCAGAGGGCAACCAGGAGCAGGGCAGCAGGGATGGCAATGATGACCTCACCAAAGAGGTACTGCAGCTTGTTTGTACCTTCACTCTGCTAACACCTGGGGAGCATCTCCTTTTGACAGTTTTTGACGGCAGCATAACCACACAAATATACTGTAAATACTCCGTATTTGTATATCCAACCACTCAAAGCGCTTTTACAATACATCTGCACCATTCACCCACATTCATACACTGGCGGAACAGCCAGGGGCAATTCGGGGTTCAGTATCGTTCCCAAGGACACTTCGACACGCAGCCTAGAGGAGCCGGGGATTGAACCACCGACCTTCCGCTCTACGTCCTGAGCCACAGCCACTCGTGTACTGTACTACAAATAATGAAAACATGTATACCACGATGGGTTTACCTATGTCATTCCACAGCCCTTGTATTTTATCTGTGCAAATATTTTCAAACCAGTAGAGTCACATTCGTTACAGCTGTTTGTGCTACTTTGAAATCCAAGTCATGTTTCTTCATTGACTCACTTAAAACGGTTCAAAAGAAAATGCTGTTTTTACATTTACTTGTTACATTTTATGATAGTTTATTGTTAGTGGCTGTTTTTCAATTTAAATTATCATTTTTCTTCTTTCAGCGAACTTGACATAATGGCCATATTGATGCAATAGAGTTGGGGTGACGTTAAGTCATTGTTGGGCTGTAATGAACCAAGACTTCTTTCTGATCATATGATAACCACCATGTCAAAGTGTGTGTCATGGTTGCATCATCTGACTGCATAGCATTTCTGTTACATGATCATGCCACTTTTTCATGCCATAATTCCCCTTGTAAAAGATAAACAGCATAAGTACTAGTTTATTATCATGAATAACTCAATCATACATAGCCCACATATGTTGGGTTTCATTTGTACCATATGAGTTAGATTTCAATACATTGAATACCTACACAATATCTGGCTATTAAAGTAACTTTTCTCTGTACAGGGCCATTTTTCAATGGTTGCTATATGTTTTTCCAGGACATTGACTTGATTGACATCCTATGGCGACAGGACATCGACCTTGGTGCAGGACGAGAAGTGTTCAACTACAGCAACCGTCAGAAGGAGAGCGAGGAGGAGGAGAAGCCCAGCCCACATGAGAACAAAGACGGGAATGAGGAACAAGAGAGCTGGAGAAATGGAGTAAACGTACAAGGAGTTCAGCCGGTCGACGGGGAGACAGGAGAGAGTATTCCAGAGCAGGTTTGTAGACTAAATGGATCTCGATATCCTAGTGTTTCATCCAGTGGAAGGTGGTACACTTAACTGCCTAAAAGCACATAAAAAGAAAATAGAAACTTGGGAGCAGCACACTGGTGATAAAAGATAATTTCATCTGCTGAATATGAGTTTATTTTCATGAGTTCCAGTTAGTCCCTTTTCACCATTTGTGGAAAACAGTTTGGGTTAAAAAAGTGTTTATCTATAAAATGGCTTAGTTTCAAGAGTGTCCTCTCATTGTTGAGTCACACCAGTCAATGGGTTTGGTCTCAGACAGCGCAAGGTGAGATCAAGCAATCAAGCTTTAGCTGTTTGATGTAGGTGCGCTTTTAAGTTATAGTGAGCCAATCAGCTGTGTTCATGCCCATGTTCTAAAGTTAAAATACTATACTATTAAATCACATTTATTCCATGGCTAACATCCAAGAAAACGTTCCAGTGGCCATTCAGAATCGTTTGCCCCTGTGACGTATAAATGTAATCCTCGTAAAACTACCTACATCCAGTGTATTCATAAAAATGTCACGGATGCACTGTGAGGTTTCAATGAATTAACCCTTCCGATAAAGAAAACAAATGCAAACGAATGTGAGAATATGAAAACGTGTCTGTTTAGGACACTGAAATGAACTTGCTTTTAATCAAGAAACAAAACGACAGAAAAATGACAGTTGGATTCAGCAAGACTGTCAGAATGATGGGTGCTTTCAGACCTAACCTGTGTTGGTTTGCCGGTTTTATACACTTTATTTGGGCAGGTGTGAAAGCTGTCATTAAAACTCCGGTGCAGTCTAAAGACCAGCACCAACCGCAGTGGACCGAGACCCTCCTTCTCAAGGTGTGAAAGCAAAGCAAACCACTTGACTGTGTGACAGTAGATACATGATTTTAGCATGAATTTAAAGTGCTGCTACTATGATATCCGTCTGCTGATAGTGAGAACTGATAATAGAGCAATCTGGAAGTGATGTATAGCCTATATATTTATCATTTTGTAACCATGCTAATGATATGCACGTCCCCATTCGAGTGCAGGGATATATCAGTCCGAAAGAGTTAAAACAGGTTTATTGAGCTTGTTTCCTAGTTTGTGTATATTAGCAGTTCACCAATAAAAAGTGAGAGAAATGTAGTGACCACGCAGTAACTTTCCTCCCATAATATTATGCATGGTGTTACAAGACAGTCTGCAAAACTGTCCAATCAAAGACTTAACTGTCATTCAAACCTGTCAATTCCACACCAGAACTAAAAGGCCACAATTTCTTTCATTAGTCCGTAATATATAAAATTCAGCATTTCTAAAAAATAAATTGATCATACAACAGTTTTTCGTGGCATTTGAAGCAGGCAGCCCGCATAGCTAAAATGTTTAACACTGTGTGTGTGAGAGCGTGGGCTAGAGCGAGCTTGATCTTATCGAAAACAAGGCAAGAAGTTTAGCATGGGACTGAAAACACACTCTGCATCTAAACCTCTACCGTACAGCAAATGCTCTACGCCTGTAAGTCCAAACAGCTCTGCCCCAAGTGCCTTATAAATACCAAATCCAGACATCTAATTACCTAATTAGTTTGAAAATATGCAACAATGTCTTTGAATTGCATAGCATCACAAATAACCAAATATTAGGCATCATCAGAAAAGTTAACTGATTATCTTTTCTGCGGCTGTGTTCATTGTCATTTCCATGGACACACTGAACAAACAAATTTAGGTTAGTTTTCTTCCTCTTTGTGCAACAGTGTAAGGTTGTCCAATCTTCTGATTCGGAGTGTTGTCCAAACAGCAACAATGGTTTGGTGATAACTGATTTGAATGAGCTATTATTATTTGATTCAAATATGGTCTACAGAGAAGTCTGGAAAAGGAAGTAATTTTTATATGGAATAGGCGTAGAAACCCTGAATTGAACTTCAGATGTTAAAATGCCCTAAACTAATGGGTACTTTTCACTGTATTGGTCTGTCTTTTTTGTTTTTGCCCAGCTCCCAGGTATTGGCTCACAGACTTCACTGTCTTTACAAGAATGCTTGAGGCTGTTGGAGGCCACGTTCCCTTTTGGAGAAGAATCAGAGGTAAAAACAGTGTTTGTTGTTTCACATTCATTGTAAAGCAAGGTATTATTGAGATTGCTTGATGAAGTTGTTAAAATGTTTTTGCTTTATGTGTATGACATTTTCAATTAGTTTCCAGCCCCGGTTGTCCCCCCGGAAATAGTTTCCAATGAAGAAGCTCCTTCTACATCTCAGGGCCTTCCTCTGGCACCACAGCTGCCCCCAGCAGAGCCACAGTTGGACCTGGAGCAGCAGTGGCAAGACATCATGGCCATCATGGAGCTACAAGTAAGTTCCCTTTTTAAATTGTGAGGTGTATTTATTTGTCCTGACACATTTATATATTTGTTGTGTGGGAACTGATAGAAGTAGGTATTCAAAATACCTGTATTTCAAAATAAGAATCATTATCATTTTCAATATCATTGTAGTGCAAAAGCATATTTGAAAGTTTAAAAATGGCCTGTTTGCTGTGTTGAAGTGTGTGTCAGTTTAACCATAAAAAGTAGATAAAATTAAAGATTTTCCCCTAACAAAATCTTTCTGTTCAAAGGCAATGGAAGTGAACACTTCGCTCAACACCAACTCCAGCAGTGTCAACGGCACAAGTGGGACAACTGAGTCAAGCCCTGTGGGGAGCTTCGAACTTTCTACTCCTTCAACACCAGTTAACCAGGATGTCAGCCTTCACCAGGCCTCCCTCCCCAGCTGCAGCCAAGACTTTACACAGATTTTCAATCCCCAGTTGGACTCTATTACCATCACCCCAAGAACCACCATGCCCAGACTTTCTTCCAGCAACTCCAGCAACATAAACTCCACGTTTGGAGCCACTAACCTGACCGGGATCTTTCTCCCACCACACATTAATAGTTCTAGTAACAACATTACATCCACACCTATCCTGCCCGATCCATTCAGCACTCTGCTGGAAGAGTCCATGCTCGATGAGATCAGCTTGCTGGACCTTGCCATGGAGGAGGGCTTCAGCCAGGCCCAAGCGTCGCAGTTGGAGGATGAGCTTGACTCAGATTCCGGTCTTTCCTTGGACTCCAGCCACAGCCCGGCCTCCCCAAGCAGCTCTGAGACATCCTGCTCTTCTGCAGCATCTTCCTCTTCAACGTCTGCTACCTTCTCAGAGGAGGGAGCTGTGGGCTACAGCACCGACTCTGAAGTTGCCACTGTGGAGACAGAGGAAGGTGCTGTCGGGGGTTATCAGCCTGAATACAGTAAGCTCTGCCGTATGAGCTATCAAGACCCCTCCCAGTTTCACGGGCTCCCTCAGCTCGACAGCATCAGCCACAATCATACGTACAACCTGCCGCTATCATCTGCGTTCTCTGAGCACCCAGAGCTCCCCATTTCAACTGGGAAGAAGACTGTCCGCGACAAACAGCACTCAAAGCTTCAGCCTCATCAGGACTTGCTCGATAAACACGCAAGCCGTGATGAACGCCGAGCCCGGGCCATGAAAATTCCCTTCTCCAACGAAAAGATCATCAACCTGCCTGTGGAAGAATTCAACGAGCTTCTAGCCAAGCACCACCTGAGTGAAGCCCAGCTTGCCCTTATCCGCGACATCCGCAGGCGCGGCAAGAACAAGATGGCTGCCCAGAACTGCCGCAAACGCAAGCTGGACACGATCATAAATCTGGAGCAGGGTGTCCAAGACCTGAGGCGCAACAAGGCCCGTCTGCTGAAGGAGAAGATGGAGTTCATTCGTTCCATCCGGCAGATGAAGCAGAAGATGCAAAGTCTGTACCAAGAGGTGTTCACTCAGTTACGGGATGAGGAGGGCCGGCCCTATCCTCCCAACGAGTACTCGCTCCAGTACAGCGCAGATGGCAGCGTGCTGATCATGCCCCGCGGCGTGACAACTGCTGAGCAGAACCGAAAGCCCGAGAAAAAACAAAAAGACAAAAAGAAGTGAGGGGGGGCAAACTGCCGTTTATGCTATAACTTTGCTAAATCAATAAGAAAGATTTCTGCAGATGCAAGAGAGATGTCCTTTTTTTCCTTTAAGAAGATTCCGGTGAGTAGAAATATGGCATTGTTGACTACTCTCGCATTAGTTTCTCTCTTTTCATTCTGTTCCTACGTTATTTTTCCTGGAAACAACTTTGAAGCAGAAGTAGCTCTTTGTTTGAGTACTGATATTTCATTATTTAGAAGGGGGAAAACAATAAGCAAGGAGACGAGGGATTAAAGAGGACATTAAAGGAGCTATTAGAAAAATGTTAGCCGCTCTTGACCCTTTTGCACCAAACCACTGAGGATGGAGAAGATTTGTAGGGTAAAACAAAGGGACTGGTCTGGAGAAAAGTGGGAGTAAAAGAACATTGTTAACAAGAATGGTTGGAATACCTATGCACGGAAGGTTTTAAAGGACTATCAGATCACATCCCACCCTGGAGACTTTTAGTGATTTTCATAGTCAACGTTTAAGTTTCAAATGTTCAGGCAAAGAACAGCACCTATGGTTTTGAGAGTTTAGATACCAAAGGCTACAGGAAGTCCGTCTTTTTAGGATGCCATTAACACCTATACTAACCAAAGGTTGTATGGTGCACATCACTTGATCTGAACACATCTTAAATGCTCAAACGCTGCACTCAAATTCCAGTTTTTGAGTCAGTTGCATCTAAGTTTAGAAGGCCCTGAAGAGATTGGGTTTGATGTGTGGATAGAGTATGTTGAGACAAGAAACAGTCGGAGGCGGGAGGCAGAGTGTTCCCGGGTTGGCCACTGCTAAAAAAGAGGCCTGGAGTTGAAGTCCTGCGAGAGAAGCTGATGGATGTTTAATGGAGGAGGCACACTGCATTGCTAAATGTATCAACTTCCTTATTAATTATACATAGCACTGTAATTTGTCTTTTAAAAGGCTTGGCTATATGCATTTTGCCGTGTGTGTCGCTATTCCTTCGCTGCAGGTTTAAATACAAGAGCTGCGTTTAGGAAGGCTCTTATTAACTGTTCATAATCTGTAGTATAAGCAAGGTTATAGGTCTAGCCACATCAGCTATATGTAAAAGTCTACACCCTCTTTGTTGATTTGAGCCTGTAATCATAAGAGGAATTTAAGATATTGTGATAGGCCAGGAACTCCAGAGTGTACTGTATGATTACCATCAACTCCAGGCTATCACAGTTTAATGTTATGGATTATTTGTTGGGTTTTTTTTTTTTGTTTCTTCTTGGATGCCATTCATTCTAAACAGGCTCGATTGTCGCTGTGGTGTAGCGATATCCCTTTTTATTTAACTCATTTGCCAACGTTACCCAACTGAAAGCCACTGGAGGCAATTTTTTAACTGCTGTAAAGCCAAGGGGTTGGTTTAAATATTGAGTTCCTATGTTTTGAAGTTTTTGTGTTGATAAAAAAGTGAGCCGAGTTGTTAAATGAGATAAAAGTTATTTGAATGCGTGAAATGACTGTGTGTGTTGTGGCCACTTTGATTCGAATGCCTTTATTTCACAATCTCATCTTTTAAATGTTTTGAGAACTGAAGAAAAATGTTCTCAAAGTAGAAGTGCTATTACTTGTCTATTTGAATGAAGTTTGTCAGTAAGTCACGTCACGTCGCCCTCTTGTTGCAGCCGACATAGCGGTTAGGGTAGAGTATTTTACAAGAGGCTGAACAGAACTCGCAACATTAAGATGATGTCCAAAAAAAGGAGAAATGTTTCATTAAATGTGATATTCAGGCATGAAACTCTGGTTAACATTCACTTTAGTGTAACCCAGTGCGACACCAACTATTTAGTACTGCAACTACTTAGTGCACTTTTTTTGTCTGTCTCGTTATGTAAATATTTTCATGTTTGTGTTTGTCATGATTTATGTAGTTTGTCAAATGTCTCCATAACAGTCTCACCATCTGCTTTCAGTTTGGATGTAGTTCCCTCTGTTTTGAGATATTTGCTGGCAATCAAGAATTGTTTTTATTGATTAATAAAGTGTTTTTATTTTCACCCGGGACTCTTTTGTGTTCTAGTTGTCATGAATGGTATATGTTATACTGTGCAACACGGGGCTTGGTCCGGAAAGCAGGTTTCTTAAGTTATCTAGAAAAGTTTGAGGTTTTACATCAGTCCATGTCTCAGATTTTAGGGAGGTGACTTGGGGAACTTGCAGTTATCCCGACAACTCAAAAATCCTGCTTCTTGGAACGAGCCCCAGGACCATGAACAACTGGGTGAAAGAGCTGCAACGATTAATCAGTTGGTAGATGGACAGAAAATTAGTAATTTTGATAAACAATCATTCAGTTCTCAATTAAGAAATACCAAACGTTTGATGGTTTTGGGCTTACTTTAGGAGTACATTGCATATTTTTAGGTTAAGACATTTGGTGACACCACCTTTGACTCTACGCTATTAAAGTATATTCCACTGTTTTCTGATGTTTACAAATCATTCATCAGTTAATGGAGAACATAATCGTCAGTTGCAGCCCTGCTAGGTAATAAACACCAGCTTGAAACAACACAGTAACAAAAAGTGATTTATTCTCCAAAACCGACAAGCAAGACATGTTCATGAAAAACACTACAAAGATTTCCAATGACCAAATGAATCACCGAAAAGGGTCCATAATGATACACCAAACGGGTCCTAAGGAAACAGCTAAGATGAACACAGTTTTGCCCTCAGAAGCACCGATGCGTTTATAAAAAAAATGGCACACTAATGAAATAAAAACATCACCTCACCAATACAACGCCATAGCAAGATGACTGAACACTGGACCAAATGCTATGTGAAAAAGTTACTGAAGTAGCCGAGCAGTTTTCTTAAAACTGGAGTGGATCCTCAGTGAACACTGCGTTGTACATTTCATTTGGATTTTGTCAAGCAAACCTGAAGCATATTTACAGTTAGGTTCTAACCAGATAAAAGCAGAATCAAATGAGTGATACTACACCAAAAGACGAATGAGTCCATTGATGTCTTGCTTGTCTCTGATCCCCTCCCTCCCCGAATCCTGCCGAAAGTACAATGAAGTTCAAAACTACAGTTTCTTTTTTGCCCCTGCCCCTTCGCCCTGTGTTAGTTTTTGTCGTCTTTTTTCTCGTCTTCGGTGGGATACGAGTGCCAAGTAAGTCTCTCTTCGTAGAAAGAGATGACCACCTGCGGACACTTCACATTGGCCTCCTTCGCCGGCACCAGGTCCGCTTCGTCAGAATTTTTCCTATACAAACAGAAAAACAATTTTAATAACATGCTTTTTTGCACACAGGTAAATAATGTAATGCCATGTTTTAATTCCCCAACATCTGAGGCAGTTATTTAATCACTGATGTACCAGTTTAAACAGATGGCCAGCAGTTACTGTGCTACACGCTGCATACAAACCATTTCATCAGAAACATGAGTTCTCCTGTGGAATCTGTGGCACCAATAATCCTTTCTGGATCCAGCCCTCGAGCAAAGCCCCTTAGCTTCTCTGTCTGATGATCAAATGACAAAATACAAAACACAAAAGTACAATTTCAGCATGAATACCTAACGCATAACAAAACAACGTTGAGTATGTCATGGGTACATCCGAATTTAAAGTTCTCATGGTTGCGTGTGTGGCCATAGAAATCTGAAATCTAAATTCTGATCAGCACAAAAGGAATGCAGGTAAACGATCTTGCCTACGTGCTCAGCGTCACTTCTACATATTTGTAGGGCTGCAACTAAGATTTATTTTCATCACCAGTTAATTTACTGATTATGTTCTCTCTTAGTGGTTTAATCAATACAGTGTCAGATAATAGTTAAAAATGTCTGTTCTAATTTCCCACCGCCCCAAGCTGATGTCTAGAAATGTCTCCCTTTGTCCGACCAACAGTCCAAAACCAAAAGATATTCAGTTTACTCTCATGTATGACAGAAGCATCAAATCCTCATAAAAGTATTATTCAAAATAGTTGCAAATGAACATTTCTGTCAATCAACTAATCCATTAATTGAGTCATCTTTTCAGTTCTGCATGCATTTCATTCATTTTCATTCACACAATATTTTAAAGTAAATGTTGTTGTCTTGTGTCGGCAACTTTTAAGAAATTGTAGTGTCACATCTGTATTGCAACGAGTTGTGGATAATTCAAGCGCCGCAGGCAGACTCTCTAGAAGTCTGCAGGAAGTCCACATGAGCCCTCCTGTAAGGACTTTATGAACGGTGGATTTGAAGTCCGAACATTTGGGATTCAGCCTGAGAGCTGCCTGTTGGTGGATATTCGACTCCACAGAGGGTATCCTGCATGTGCAGGAGGGAGCCTGTAACGGGTTGTTACAAGTGGACACTTGAATTTCCGTATTGTCTGGAAACCAGCACCCTGCCTTACCGTGAGCAACTGTCATCAGAGCCTGTGATGTGGTTTTCCGTGACAAAAAGGTGCTTACCTTGATGAGGTTTAAGGTTTGCCTGAACTACAATAAACACCTGCCACCTGCAACTCTTCATCTAACCAACTTACTGTGGCTTGTTTGGGGTTTCTTTCCTGGCAATATTTTAAACTGCAGGAAAATGTCTTATCTCATGCTGTGTAGATCAAAATAGTTTTATTTTGTGTCTTCTGTGTGTGTGTCTTTACTTTTGTTATTCCACGAGCCAATGGGCTGACAACACCAGAGCAAAGCAAAGAAGAAGAAAAACAACAACAGTTGCAACTTTTATTGGACAGATTATTACATATTAAGACATATTATTACTGATGAGACTATTTCATCTAAATCACAGTGGTGTCAAACAATTACACTACTTTGTTTTGTTTGTCTTTCTGCGGCTGACTAGTCCTCATGCAGGTGTAAAACATACATGCATGTTGGTCTGCTGTGCCGTTGGATGTGGTCTTTGTGGTGCGTTCAGTTGCAACTTTTAACAGAAGACATGAACAGAACAGTTTCTGTCTACGCTAGTTCTTTGAAGTTGGCTTGGTGTGTCAGGACCCTTAGTACAGTAGGACATATTGAGCCCAGCAATGTTTATCTCAATTTTACATAACAGATGCTCGATGCAGCAGGAATCATGTAAGTCATTGGCCTTTTTTGTCAGGTAAGATGTAAGTTAACATAATTTGTTGCAACAAGTGAATTTTATTACTGTGATATTGATTCTGCACAGAAGAACAAAAACCCACTTAAACCCTTAATTGTGCAAAACAAAAACCAAGATTTGGGACTTACGTCGTCTTTTTTCTTCTTTGTTTTATTTTCGTCTCCATCTGTGTCTCCGGCCGCCTTCCGCTTTCCATCGTGCGCCGTTTTCTGGGACTGCAGAAATTCTGCAATTAAATCTGGACAGTCCAGGTTGTCTTCTGGCTCCCACGTATTATCTTCCCTGCAGACACAAGTACAAAAAAAAAAACGGTATTTATGTTTTTAGTTAATAATTTAATCACCTGTTACATGTTGGTATCTCGTTGTTTTCTTGGTTATAACTTGAATGACTCGACATGACATATGCAACAAGAAATCGCCCCAAAACACTCACTCTGAGAAGCCTTTCCACTTGAGAAGATATTCTACTCTCCCTTTCACCACCCGCCGATTCAGGACCTTTTCCACCACGTATTCTTCCTCCTCCTCCTCTTCCTCAGGCACATCATCTGGCTTCTTGTCCTTCTTCTCAGGTGTAGTCATTTTACTCTCTGACGGGTTGGAAACTGTAGCAACGAGCAGATAGTTAACGATCCTGAAGACACCCGCCTTTTAACGCCTGCTGAGCCCTGAAACCTAAAACTCTTACTGGCTGCAGGTTCATTTTCAGTGGTAGAGTTTCAGATAATTCTTTGAGAAACGTGTTACTTAATCTGCTCAGTGCAGAACACACATTACTTTATTCATTCTTTGTCCCTCGACACACACCTTACCGCACAAGGACAAGTGACACAGAGCAATTATGTTAGAAAATAATGATATATTAAACCTTCTGTAACTGTGGGACCATCGTTAGGGGGTTCTGTAGTCAGGCTCATACTCATCAGGTAGACCTGGGGACCAGCAGGTTCCTGGTCAACGTCAAGATTGTTGCATGATGGAAGCAAGCCGGAATCAATGTGGTAGAGAGGAGAAAACAGCATTGGAGAATGGGATTTATTGGTAAGATACATGGGTAAACAACGTGAGGCAATGTAGATTTCTTTTTTGTTAATATACATGTTTTTAAAAACCCATTATGTTTATGTCCCAAGTATAGATTTCTGTTTAAAAAGACTGCATAATCTGCATTGCCTGAAGTTACCCATGTACCATTATGTTGTGATATGGTGTAAACTCTGTAAAAGTCCTGCATAAAAATATACTTAAAATAGCAAAAGGAAAAGTACTTATAAACCATTTTAGAATAAATTATATTGGATTATCACTGGATGATAATTATTCATGTATTAAAGTTGCCGCTGGTAAAGGTGGAACACATTTCAACTACTTTATATACTGCTGGGTATTTTAATCCATAATAATAGATCATATTTTATTAGTTAACCTATATTTTGACTTAATACTCTGAATATGCAAAATAACTAGAATTTTAAGTTGTTACAAAACATTACTAGTTTCCAAAATGTAGTGGAGTAGAAGTATAACGTAGCATAAAATGGAAATACTCATGTAAAGTACCTCAAAAATTGCACTCAAGTACATTACTTATTTTGCAACACTACACATGTAGTTACCCAGAAATATGACCTTTCTTTTATAGAGGGGATGTTAGTGATACAGTATTACAAGTACTCAGATCTTTTACGCAAGTAAAAGTACAAATACCACAGTGTAAAAATAATCAGTTATATGTAAAAGTCCTGCATCAAACTATACTTAAAGAATCAAAAGTACTCATTTATATAAATTGATGTTAATAATTGATCTATTAAGGTTGTCGCTGGTAAAGGTGGAGCTCATCTCTGCTTTTTACTTTATATACTTCTGGGTATTTTAGTCCATAATAATATATAAGAATGTACAAATGAATCAATAAAGTACAAATACCACAGTGTAAAATAATCAGTTATAAGTACAAGTCCTGCAATTATAATATACTTAAAGTATCAAAAGTAAATTAAACAGAAGGTCCATTTCAGAATAAAGTTCATATTATATCCCTGGATTATAATTACTGATGTATTAAAGTTGTCTCTGGTAAAAGTGGAGCTCATTTCAACTACTTTATATACTGCTGGGTAACTTTAATCCACAATAATAGATAAGAACGTATTAGCCGACTTGATTATTTTGTATTAATACTCTGAGCCTGCAAAGTTACTAGTAATTAAAGATGTTAAAACTTTAATGGTTTAAGTACAAAGTGGCATAAAATGGAAATACCCAAGTAAAGTACAGCACTTGAGTAAATGTACTTTGTTGATGTTTTTTTGCAACTCTACACGTGTAGTGGCCCAAAAATACTGCCATGACCGAATGTATTATTGATCACCTATAACAAGATATAATTGCAGAGGGTATCTCCGTTTAATATGGATCACCTCGCTGATCAATAACAGACCGGAGGCGCGTTCATGGACCTGCCTGTGACTGTAACCAGCAGCAGGTCTGCAACACCTGGCGGCGGCGGCGGCGGCGGACTGTAACGTTTCTGTGGACGTGCAGAGCTGATAATTAAGCAACAGAGACTACTTTTAAATTAGCATTGTCCTGGTGTTAAAGTACATACTGTTCAAATGTAGTGATGTTATTGTTGCTAACGTTAGCAAGCAAAAGGAAGAAAAGCCCACACGACAAAGCCAAGACGCGACCCTCTCGTCTGTAGCTAGCTGGTGTCTCCTCCATATTGCTTTACCAACACTAATGTTACACACTCAGCGATGAGTGTCGATTATAACGATCGTTTATGCTCACGCATGATGAGAAACGTGTCTCCTAGCTAGACACCGGCGCTAGATTTGGAAAATATGCACATTAACGGCTAGCTATCGTTCAGTCTCGTGCACAATCAAACGCTCCCGAGACAACACGTTTAAGAGAGGTAGGAGGGAAGATTAAAAAATAAAACTCACCGATGATTTACAATTTTTAAAAAAAATGTTATTTTAACGTCCACCCGCGCCGAAATAAAAGAACAGGACAGCCGAGCTCTCGCAATTATATTAGTAGCGATACCGTCGCCGTTTGTCTTGATTGGTTGTCAAAACACGGAGCCGCTAGCTTGGCTACAGTCAGATGTGTCGTTTCCGCCCCTTAGTCTGGTGCGAGAGAAGAAGAAAGTCTCCTGGTCCGCCGGAGCGCGACTCTAAAACATCTGGATGTACTCATCACTGCAGCAGGAGCCGTGCGGGCTGCGGGCGAGTGATTTACAGATCTGTGGCCGCGGAGTGTGAGCAAAAGGCGGACTGGATCAGCGGAACGGGCCCCGCATAGATAAACAGCGCTTTATTGATCCCTATAGGAGAACGTGTTGTGTAGAATATCTTTAATGACCCTGAAAATACACTGATACTATCTAAATCAAGGTGTATGGCATGTATTGCAAAGTGGTATTTTACATGTAGCCTATGAGGAATTTGCTATATTGATTGGGGGCCAGAGTTGACATAAACATACAGTTGTCATAAATAAATAGCCTTTTAAATATATCTATATCTATATCTATAGATATAGATATAAATATGGAATAAACAGATGTTTAAGTTCGAAATATGTGTAAAATAAAAAACAAAACAGTGTGGCGTTAATGGGTTAATCAATTAGTTGTCAACTATTTGGATTATTATGATATTATTTTAAGTCATTCTTTAAGAAAAAAAATTCATTCCAGCCTCCATATGTTACTGTCATAGAGGAGGAAATTAAACCACAACATATTCACTTGTTGTGGTTTAATTTCCTCCTCTATGACAGTGACAAACGTTACATACGAGGAATTCGCGAGGAATTTGCCTTGGTATAAATTGGTGCTTACAATACACATAACATAAATAAAAATAAATATATTAAAAGTAAGGAGAGCCAAAAAATGTATAAAAAAATACAATAATACTATAATACAATGCTGATAAGTATGTGCAAGTTCACAATGTGAGCATCAAGCACAGTTGAGCGTTGTTGTAAAGTGTGGGGTCAGGAGTGTGTATGAGTGTGTTTGGGGAGGGGGGCATGATAGTCAGTGACAGTGGGGCCCCGAGCCTTGTTGAGGAAGCCCACTGAAGTCGGAAAGAAGCTGTTTCTGTGGCGAGAGGTTTTGGTCCTGATAGACCCCTCATGGGCCAGAGGGGAGTGTCTGAAACAGTTTGGGTCTGGGGTGGGAGGGGGTCAGCCACAATCTTTCCTGCACACCTCAGAGTCCTGGTCTTGGGCTTTGGGAAACACTGATCGACATTTTTCCCCATTTTCTGATATTTTATAGGCAAAACAATTTATCTATTAATTGAGATACTAATTGACAGATTAATTGCCAATGTAAATAATCGGTAGTTGCAGCCTTAATGGCCTGGGAGCTACAGTTCCCTCAATCTGTCCATTCTGAACCAGAAATACTTTATTAATCCCAGAGGGGGAAATTTTCTTTTGTTTCAGTTAATCATCTAACAAGGCATTAAAAAAATAGAAATAATAATAGTATTGAATTATGTACAGCAGTGATTCTCAAAGTGGGGTCCGAGAACCCCTAGTGGTCCTTAAGGAGGTTCCAGGCGGTCCCCATGCATAACGGGGAATAGTTTATTTTCACTATTATTCCATTTATAAGTAAAACAATGATAAAATGTATGACTGAATGAATGAATGTATACTTTCTGTAATAAAACATCTCAAAGCAAGAATGCAATCAGAGGGGCCACCCTGGGACAAAATCTTATCAAACGGGGGTCCGTGGTCTTATTTGTGTCACTTTAGTGTGTATTGCACATTAATCCTGTATTGCAGAAGGGCAGCAGGGTGGAATTAACCCATTTCCAGTACTTGATTAATAGACTATGCAATTAATATAAATAGGCAAAAAGTAAAACCCTTCAAAACTAAAACAAATATGTGCATCAGATTTTGACTACTGTCAAAGGGGAAAGCAGCTGGGGGGGCGTGAGGGTGATCTGGGAGGGTGGGGCTGGGCTCTTTCTGAAATCCACAACCATCTTCAGCTTCAGGTAGTTCTGCCTGCACCAGGTCACCAGATGGTCAATCTCCCACCTTTAGGTGAACTCATTCGCACAAGAGATGAGCCTAGTGAGGGTGGTGTCAACTGCAAACTTCAAGAGCTTGACGTACTGATGACTGGAGGTGCAGCTGTTGTACAGGGGAAGAGCAGAGGGGGAAGAACGCAGCCTTGAGGGGAACCGGTCCATATGGTCCTGGAGTCAAGGCCTTTTTTCTATTACACTTACTGTACATTTTTAGGCGCTTTCAGCTACATCACCTGAGCAAACACCATCTCTTTCTTTTCATTTGGCTTACTTTGCATGTAATTTAAAAAAATTTAAATATAAATTGTACAACAATATTTGACATAGTCACAATGACATCGCTGATAACAAGAAAAAAAGCACACATTATAAAAGACAATAAACAATTTTAGAGGAAACAAAAACAAGTATTTTTGCTGTGTTCTTTTCCATAACTAAAATGCAAATTATTTTTTGAATGCAGTACATAAAGGCTGTTTTAATACATTTACATTTGTGGATGAAACATTTACCCAAGATCATTAAAATATTTAAAAGCACCTGTTTTATGTGATTTTAATTCACATAAAACAATAAATTAATTTAGAAAAGCCAGGCTTCCACCCTTTACTTCCGACTTCTCCCGGAAGAAGACGCGGTGTGACGCATCAGCGGTGCTTGTGACTTGCGAAATGGAGAAAGGAGGTGTTCGTGTTCAACAAGCCTGTGCGTTTGCGTATTTTACACTTAAATAAAACAGGAAACATCGACAAGCAGGACGACGTCTCCAACAGCCGGCTGGATACGACCACAGCAGCCAACATAGAGCTCATGAAAGTAAGTATTTGTCGCCCGGGATTAGCTTTTAGCTGATGTTTCCTGTAGCCTGATTGTTTATAACCATTAAGGCCAAACAACAAACTACTCGTGTTGTTATTACACGACCTAAAGATATCTGTGAAATGGTTTGGGGAATTAAATTTTAATCTTTGTGAATTTGCATTACTTTGAGTATCGTTACACTGTATCGGGAGATAATGTGCATCATCAGCAAGCTGTAAAACTCTGGTTGTTAATTTCTTAAATTCAGAAAGATTCGGGACATTTCTGCTAATTTAGAAAACACGTCTTAACTAGAATACTTTGTTTTGATGGATAAATATCTGTTAAAAATATTAGTAACAGGGGCTTGTATTGGAAGACAGTGTCTGAAATCTTTATAACATTTGTTTCCTTGGCATTTAGTGCTTAAACTATTATTATTATTATTATTCTCAGAAAATCAATTGGCAGCTGTTTAATTATTTGTTATTTATCAAGGCAAAATACAAATTTCAGAATGAGAAATACTTTATTGTTCTCGGAGGGGAAATTCTTTTGTAGCACCCATTGGACAACAAGGCAAAAGTAATATAAATAATAATAGAAAGTAGAAAGGTGAAGAAATATATTAATATAAGAGTACAAATATAAAATATAAAGAAGTAATGTACAATATTTACATTTTTAAAGAATTGTTATGGTGAACAGTGATAATGAAGAAATAGCAGCAGAGAATATTAGAGAATAAGGTCCAGTTTAATAACTAACTAAGTATCTGTGTGTCAGACACTTAGAGGGGGGAATTATAAGGTTTCATGGCCACAGGCGGGAATGACTTCCTGTGGCGTTCGGTGGTGCATTTTGGGGGGATGAGTCTTGCACTGAAAGTGCTCCTGTGTTTGAGCGGTACGTCATGGAGTGGGTGGGAGACGTTGTCCAAGATGACATGTAGAAACCTACCAAAACGTGCTTTTGAGGTACAGACCCTGGCAAAAATCACATAATTTTTAAAATTTTTTTTTATTTCTGTGAAGATCAAATGCAAAAATGACCAAATCTGTGAAAATAGTTGCAATATGATTTTATTTATTTTATGAACATCGCGCAGCCCTACTTGTTACTCTTTGAATAAACTCTTAAGAGAGTTCTTTGTTCCCCAAAAATGGTAAAGAGAAATGCCTACTTGAGTGACTCGGTTGGTTTTCACTGACCAGCTTCTCTTTTGGAGGATGATTCATCAGTTTGTGACAACACGATACAAGACGAGCACAGTTTGAGCTTTTGATCCTGATTCATTGAATTCTGTCCTCATTGATTTCTCCGTTCCTTGCAGTGCAGCACTCGGTAGGATGATCAGTAATCAAGAAGAAGATGTAAGTAACCTCCCACTCTCCTTTTTTCTACATTAAACCACAATAGTAATTTCTAATGTGACGTCTATTGTTGATGAAACCTAAAAAGAAATTCCTACAGCGTTACACCTCCCCCTTTTATAAACTTCCACTTAACAAATGCCAAAGAACAATGCCTCCATTGGTGTGTTTAAAATCACATGAGGAACTTAATCTCTTCTGAAGAAGCAGCATGTCGTGCCTACACAGTAATCTACTGTGTCAGTCTGTTGGTTTAACCACAGCAGCAGGTTTTTCTATTTTATTTAAACTTGTGAAACTCTGTCTCTGTTTCTGTCTTTCAGGAGTTTGTTGCAGTGCGGGTCCAAGATCCCCGCATTCAGAACGAAGGCTCATGGAATTCATATGTGGATTATAAAATATTCCTACATGTGAGTATTAACAGTTACTTTACAATATGTCCGGGCACTTTTAGTGGAAGTAATTTGTGTTTTAGAGCTGAAAAGATTAGTCGATTAATCGTTTAATCAATCGACAAATCGTTTAAGTCTATTTTGAAGGAGAAATGTTTAACACTATGGGGTTAAATCAATGTCAATATTATTGTAAATGCACTCTTTACAATTTGCAAACCCGCACAGTCTAACTTGTATTCTCAAACCACTGTTTTAGGCATGCACATACAAATTCTGTGCAAAGCTCACATTCCAGTGTCAAATCTGTGTTTGTGGATCGCTTTGCATTTGTCTATAAATCATTTTGACGCTGGTTTGCGTCTGAATATGATCCACAAATGTAGTTGGCCAATCAGCGGTATTGCTTCCTATGTGATGTCACTTTCCCTCAATAAGCCTTTCAAAATAAGAGCTGTCAGAACTTGTACATCATCTACCCTGCATCTAATCCTGTGTGGATGTTTCTTACATTTACATTTACTGATGTAGCTGATGCTTTTATCCAAAGCGACTTACAATTGCTGTTTATGTCAGAGGTTGCACGCCTCTTACAGTAAGTGCTGAATAATTATCCCCCTCTTATAGTGTGGTTGGTGAAGTGTGCCTTTTTAATACAGTTACAATAATCGCATTTCTGCTCCTGCTAACCCCCGGAGTCTGGACAGATTGTAGTGTGCTCAGCGCAAACCAATTTCTCCCACACTCTTTCTTGTATTGTATAATTGTAAAAATGATCATTATTAGCGTCTGTATATGGCTGAGAAATGGTTGTTTCCCTCAGCTATCACTGCATATCTGCCGATTATTTTGTCTCGTCTGTCACCAGCCGCCACACTCAGCACACACTGGCAGCTGACCCGGTATATGTTTTACGTGTATGTGCTTTTTGCAAGAGGAGTGTAGCCTACATTCTAACGATACCCCAGTGAATTTAATTAGCGGTATTGTGGGTAGTGTGCTGTTGTCTAGCAGGTGGTGCGTACTTTGTGTGTGTTTTAGGGCGCCAGCGTGATGTCTCTGCTCTTCAGAGAATATGGCGTTTGAACTGCAGGAGATGAGTACCCACCTACCTTTCAGGGGTTCACACACTGTTGAGATCCTTTCAATGAAACATGTGAATCCGATAGAGTTCAAATCAACACAACTAAGTAATTCAAAGCAAATTACAAGTACCTTTTTAATCCGAGTCGGTCCCAGAGAACACCTGATCGTATTATTTACTCATTTATTTACCTTCGTTTTACCCACCTTTTCTGATCTCATCCCGTCTGACTTTTGACACCATTTATTATGCATGTCGCCCATTTGATCAGCTGACAACACTTTTGTATTTTCATGGTGTTAAACCCTAAAAAAAAATTACTTTATTGCAACATTAATCAATAGACAATTTGTTATCAATGTGACAGTCACAAAGGGAATGAATGAATGTCATTAAAGTTTGTTTGTGTGCTGAATTAAAAGATGACCATCATTAGAGCCGTATTCGTCCGGGCTTAAGTTCCACCAAATACCAAGGGCTAAGCAGTGGCGTGGGGTGGGGTAAATTTTTGGCAAGCCAAGTGAGAGGGGATGTCCTTTTTGGAGGGCAATTATCTAATGTCTTGTGCTATTACAGTGCAGGGTACAATTTTACAGAAAATTTAATCATACTTTAAAGATGCGCACTGTTGCATTTACCGAGACTTACGCTCTCTGTCTTTCTCACTCACTCACTCTCTCTCTCTCACCACAAATAGCATACATAGCCCGCTGCTTATAGTGCACAGTACAAATAGGCTACGGTTAAGAATAAAAGAAGCATTCACAAGCTCAATCAGAAGACGATTGAAGACATTTGCATAGTAGCAGTGGTGCATGTACGAAATAGGCCTACATACTTCTTAATGCTTGGCCAAATGTTCATAACACAACATCACCCAAGACTAACAACCGAGTACCAGACCAACAGAGTATAAACAATTATTCAGGTAGCCTAAGTTGGGCCAGTGCCCTGTGGCAGGTGCTGTCTGTGGTGCTCATTATCTACGCGCACACAACCGCAGTAAAAACAGTAAGGTTACTTCAGCGGACTATTCATTCGCAGCTAAATCCAGGCAAGCAAAGCAAAACAAACATTATCACCACATCAAAAATCACACACATAGCTGCAGTTCAGTCAGGTTCAGAGAGAGGTGGTGGTGTCATTTCAGTCAGTAAAACTATAACAAAACAAATTCCTAATCTCCACCCTCCATAACTGCACCAGCTAAAGTTGCTAACGGCTCCCATTATTTCATCTGAATGATGTTGATCGCACGCAGTGATGTGATTGGTGTGAAGCCAGACAGCGGCTGGCTTTCCTTGGCATCATCCTGACTAATCACAGTCAGGCAGTGGCCTCATCGGATTGGTTAATCATTTCATTTTTTTCACAAAGTGATGCCAACTCTGCCTGGCCTTCCCGCGAAGTCAGACTGCAGACCAGTCTACGGTGGTGCAATATAGTGTTTCACCACAAATCCAACACATATCATTCAGAGGGGCGCTGTTTCACTTTATTGTAAGATAGTAAGAAATGGGGAAGAGATGACGGCAACAGCTAATAAGATTTATCAAAACTAAAAATATTGTGTTTTTATTAAAATGATAAATAGAGTCTGATTAAAAACTCTGGAAGAAAATGCCACTGGGGCTAATGTCTGTAAAAAAGTATTTCCAACACCACCCAACTCAAAAATATTGTTTGTTGTATAATATTGTATGTTTGCGTGACCTCATTCTTATCTGCATCATAAGGCTGCGGTGAGACATCCGGCGCTAGATTTCAGGGCTGTCATGGTATCTAGATGACTTAGTAAGAAAGTTTGTGTGCATGTCTTAAAAAAAAGTGGTTTGAAAATAGAAATTAGAGTGTTTGTTTGCAAATTGTGAAGAATGTTTGTAGAAATTTTAATTTTGTAAAATAGTGAAACAGTTGTGTAAAAATTCTGAAAACAAATGCAAAACAATCTAGAAATAGAATAAGATCTTCACACGGAGACGAGTCATGTTGCATTCATTCAAATTCTGGTTTTCAACTACAAGTCACTATTTATATACATATATTTCTATTTGTGGATCATGGAGTGCTTGTGGATTTTGAATCCATTTGTAGGTCGAGTTATGTGTCGACAAATTGTAAGATATTTTTGACTTATAGTCGGTGCATTTACAATGATTTTGACATTGATTTACCCCCATAAAGCGCACTCTGGTTTCAGCTTTTACAATGTTTGTCATTTTCTTTGTTTTGTATTATTGCAAATTAAATATTTTTAGGTTTTTGACTGTTGGTCAGAGAAAAGAAAGACATTTGAAGACAACACATTAGACTGGAAGATTATAGGGGGCATTTTTCACTATTTTCTGAAATTATTTCTGGAAACATACTTGGCAATTAATTTGTTTTACATAAGGAACATGTAGAATGTGATAAAAACAGATGACATGTTAGTAATGAGGAAAATCCTGAAATGCTCCTTGAGTAGCCAGATAAGAATTATCTGTAGTTTTGTACCAGTGTGCTAGTTGTTGATACTAATCTACAAACTTAGTTTTCTATTAAGCCTGTCTCACACCACAATATACTTTTGACAGTAATATGATCTTCTTTAGAAGACAGTGAGCTTGCAGCAGTTAGATTTCTGACATTTCTTGTTTGGATAGGAGTTGGGTGGTGTTGTCTGGGCAGTGGCATGTGTTGAGGAATGCTGTGTCAGCAGCAAGGCTCCATGCCTGGATGGATGGGTTGTGTGGGTGTTGACTCATGAAACTGGTTAAATCATGTGGCCTCGCATGATCTTACATCATTTTGTTTGTGGTTTATGTGCACACTGTGTGTCTTACACATCAACAAAGTTAAAGCCAGTAGCTTTCCCCAGATATTTCACCTACACAAACTTCTACAGAAACACTTCTCACTGCTTTTATCACTGTAAACCAGACCAACATTGAACTATTTCAACTGTTGTCTGAAAGTTTCAACCCACCTTGAAATATTTGGATGCATATTTGTATGTATTTTAAAGACAACTAAACATGTTTCAATATCTAATCTGTCTAACAGTATGTAGGGCTGCAGCTAACAATTATATTACTACTCTTGATTATTCTACAGATTATGTTTTCATCATTTTGTATCTAAACAAAATAGTGAAAATGCCTAATTTCCCACAGCCCAAAGTGACATCTTTAGGTAAGGTCCTATTTTATCTGACCAGCAGTCTAAAACCCAAAGACATTCAGTTTACTATCATGTCTGACAAAGAAAAGCATCAAATCACATATTTGACAAGCTGGTTTTCATTTAACCTAACTGATTTATTTTCTGTTGATCTTAGTGAATAATTGACTAATCAATGCAGGTATCCAGTACATTAAAGGGATATATCCAGGACTTTTATCTTCTAATGGAATTTGTTCTTCTTGATGACATTAACTTAACCAATGCTGCCTGCTTGTCATTGATTAAGGCCTGTCAGAAGGTAGCGTGTTATCCAAACATCGCTGGAACAAACCTGACATGTGACAATGCTTCAGTTCTGCCATAAGATCAGCAGCAGTTAAACAGCTGGAGCATGAGTCATTTCAGTTACAACACAAGTCCCTGAAATTAAGCATATTAACTGCAATTAAATTGCTATACATTTTTTAAATTAAAGGATAAGGCCGGTGTTATTGTACATCTTTTTTATTGACCGCAAGTCCCATGAAAATACCAAACCAACAATTAATTAGACCATCTCTAAATAAGTTGACTTCCCTATTTTGTCTGTGGCTCTCAGCCTCAAGACCACTGGTTCCTACTGAAGTCTTTGTAAACAGACCACAAATATTTAGCAAGGCACTGCTGTTTTTTTTTTTTTTATGAAACACTACTTAAACAGGAGGAAATGGTGCATTTGTTGGGGACTATTTTCAGTGATGGATTAATCCACACTTGGTGCTCTAGTGAGTATTTGGTGTAGCAGGACGGTGTATGTGCGATTGAGTCAAAATAAACTGCAGTGTGTGTTCACAGTGATGAAGGAGCAGTGAGGCTCACTGATGGGGTTTTAATGGGAACAGAGGAAGAAGATAAATCAGGCATAGAATACTTGGATAGTTGTTTTTGGTCTTTTTCTGTTGACAATAATAAAAATATATTACATTGCCAGACTTACTTTTAAATATTTCACATTGCCTCATACTTTGTCTCTGTATCATCTAGTACTGTTGAGTGTAATGTGTTTACTTTTTTCATTCCCAGACCAACAGTAAAGCCTTTACAGCGAAGACGTCCTGCGTGCGTCGACGCTACAGTGAGTTCGTCTGGCTCAAGAGGAAGCTTCAGAAGAATTCTGGTTTGGTGTAAGTTGATGTGAAGAGAATCCTGTTCCAGTTGTAGCTCCAGTTTTGATTCAATCCAAACGCTCTCACAATCCCCCACCGTCAAACAGCAGACACACAGTTAGAGACTAGCAGGTGAACACAGCAGAGCGTTTAGCAGCTAAAGAGACAGATATTTTCCGCAGGAGTTGGTTAAAACCGAAACGGGACTAAAGTAAATATTGGCCAGAAACTAAATGAATGATCATGTTCCGTAGCCGCTGGATGTGTAAAAAAACAAACAAAAAAAAGGTTTGCTAATACGTTCGCTTACTTTATAAGGTGATAGTATGTCAATCTTTACTGTTTGTTGTATCGCAAAGCGGCATAAACTTTTTTAAAATTTTGTACCTGAGCTGTCTTTTTCACCAGGTTACTCCTATGACATGATGAACATATCGTTAACACAAATTTGTATGCGTAACACTGTCCTTCATATAGTTTTCTTTCACCTACATGGCACTTTATTTATTACAGCAAATGTGCTATAATCTACAAATATGGAATATAAAGACTTTTCTGTTGTTGCTTGTTGTCATCCTTCTAGGCCAGTCCCAGACCTTCCAGGAAGGTCTTTCTTCTCCTTCAGCAATGAGGATTTCCTGGAGAGGAGAAGGAAAGGACTTCAGGCCTTCTTGGACAAGTTAGTTCTTGTTCCTGTTATGCACGCCTCCTGCCAAATATAACTTAATGAAAGCAAATATTTGTTTTCTGTTTTTACATGCATGTTTTTTGTTTTTTTGTTTGTCTTGCAGAGTGGTGCACATGACAGTATGCCTGTCAGACAGCCAGCTCCACCTCTTCTTGCAGACGCAGCTGCCGGTCGGTCACATCGAGGACTGCGTGCAGGGCCACACTCCCTACTCTGTGACGGACGCCATCCTCACTTACGCCTCATCCAATCGGGGGTTCGCTCAGGCTCAGGAGGAGGATTCTATCAAAGAGCCAATTTTGACCGTTTCTTATGAGTCCATGGAGAGGTATGAGGAATCTTAACTATTTATATATGGAAATAACCTTTTACCTTTGTGTTATTCCTTCTTCTTGACACGAAATAGTCCCAACACACCCCATAAAACCACAACTTGTTGTTAGTACACTTCCTTGTTTGTACAGATTAATAAAACAAGATATAACATGTTCATTGTTAAACTTTAGAGCTGCTGCTAGGTGGATTTTGTTACCTTTAGACAGAGCCAGGCTAGCTGTTCACCCTATATGTCAGATAACCAGCTGCTGGCTATAGCTTCATACTCAACATATAGACATGAGTGGTATCAATTTTCTCATCTAACTCTCAGCAAGAAAGTAGATAAGTGCTCAAACTATAAGTCGAGCATTTCCTGTTCTGTTGAATTTGTGGGTTAAATGTTTTCTTTTCCCCCGCTCCGCAGCCCAGCTCCTCATCAACCTTACCTACAAACTAAAGAGATCTGCAGCACTGAGCTTCTTTCATGTAGTGACTATGACCCACTAGATAGTTTACTGGAGCTTTGTGATGAGGACACGGTCCAGTTACAGCACAAGGAGAAATCCTCAATAAAGGTCATCCAGAAGAACGACCATCTAGAGGCTGTTGTTGAGGACTGTGGCTCGACAGAAGTAAAGTTTTTTCTAGATAACAGCCTGGACGAACCTGAGAGTCTCGGCCTTCCAGAACAACCCCAGCAGGGTTGCTGTCAGATACAGACACCAGTGGAGGTGCACTCGCCCATGGGGACTGGCTTTGACGAGATCTGTGGGGTGGACAGCATGTTTGAGGAGTGTTCGGTAAGAGAGGAGAGCGTTGTGACATTAGATACAGAAGAAAAGACTGTTACTTATCCAGACACAGAGGAGAAGGCTGATCAACGGGAATGTTCTGGGGAGGAAAATATAGAAAACGTCGACTCTGAGCCAGAAAAATGTGTGGACTGTGTAGCGATTTCAGACTTTAAGGACAATGATGCCAGATCTCAGGAGGAAGTTCTGGAAAACGTCTGCTCTGAGGTTTTTGAAAATTGTGTCATCTCTGAGGTTAATGGTCTCGAGCACGATGGAGCCGACGGGCAACAAGAGCCAGACAACAATACAAGTGATGACTCACAAAGAAAAGAACTGGAGACCCTTCATGGGTCAGAAATCCATGAAGACACTCACAATGTGCACAGGGTCCCAGAGGTGGAAAGTGGGGCCGATGACATCGTTCAACAAAACCAAAAGACAGTTGAAGAGGAAGTGGATTTCGTTGGGACCAAAGACGAGAGCGACGAGGACAGCTGCTCATCTTCCAACGGGAGCATCGTCAAGGTCAGCGATGAAGAAAGCATATGCGAAGAAAACAGGGACTCGATCCAGGTTGCAAACGGCTACATGAAGATGTCTCCGGAGGAGGTTACTCACTGGTCAGAAGTAGAGGCCTCCAGTACAAACATTATGAACCGACACATGAATGGATGTCTTGCGGGAACAGAGGACATTACCACCCAGGAGGACGTGGACCTGCGATACATGACAGACATCAGGGACTTGAGTAAATCTCTGGACCTTAACTCAACTGTAACCATCGAAGATGTGACTGAAAATAGTGACTTCAGCATCTTAGGGACCAGCTTCACGCACGGATTAGACGATCGTAAAGAGCAGGAAACCTTGTCCTCGCTGTCTCTGGAAACCTCAGAGGAGATTCGTGAGGTAGAGGCGCATTAGTGAAACAGCTGACGCATTCGATCACACGCACATAAACTAGGTTCATACTGGTTGTTGTGTTCTGCTCATTATATGCAGAATGGATGGTCTTCTAAGACAAGGACAGAGGCATATTATGCTTTAAGAGGACCGTATGATTTAAACCTAGAGCTGTCACGCACGTTGTAGGTCTAACATTCTTTTCTTTTAAATAGGGTTTATTTCATTTTAAAATTAGCATAATTTACTTCATTTTTCACTCAGGTACACTAAATATTTCCGAGACAATATGTTTGTCTCCTATGATGATTGGCTCTTTGGGAACAGCAGAGGGGGCTGAAGTTCACAAAAAGGCTACGTGCATTTAAGTAAAGAGGTGATTTACCCATATAGAAAGAGCTAAAGGTTTTATTGTTGTGTGAACAGATAAATGTCATTGCTCTGAAATGCACGCATTTTTTCAAGTGACTGTCAACACTCACATGTCTGTAGGTACTTTGCTAAATATCCACTGAACTCACGTTAACTGTAGTTGAACTTTGAGGGCTGATGGTTTTGCTGAATCACGTGCATTGCAATCACTTTAGAAAGGGAAGCCAGCATGGGCAGGAGAAACATTTACAGCAGCCAAAAACTGTTTCAGTGTACGTGTGGGCATGTGAGTATTGTTTTAAGACACGCTTGGAAAAATCCATCATTAATAAAGTAAATTGAGAATCACGCACCGCTCTCATTTACAGCCTCGCTTAATGTGAAAACCATAAATATCACTGTATTATTGAGTCCTACTGAATCCTGATAATGTAAGTTTAATGCTGAAATAAGTCACTAACTCTGGATGTTTAGATTTATCTACAGATGGAAGTCATAATGTGAAAGGTCAAAATTAAACCAGTTCAGTAACATGTTTTAATTGAGTTTACCTATTGGCACACAATGCTCTGAACAAATTATGTGTTACAGGCAGGAGCGTTAACCTGATATTTATTTTCAGACGGTGGATCAGAGAGGGAAAATAATCTTTTACATGTTATGCTCTTCTACTGGATTTTTTGTGAGCATACCTCATATACACTAATCTCTACTATTGTCAGTCTCTGTCATGTCATATATAGGCTATTTACATGTTCTGTGAGCACAACCTTAATTCCAGTTAGTCCGACGCTTGTGTAAGCTTTCTGCAGTTTGACTTGGACATTGTTTTCACACACTACTGCTGCATTTAAAAAAAAAAGTACCCAGAGTTTATTGTGCAGACGGAAGTGAGTGTGTCACTCATCCCATGTGGCAGCCATAAGATCAAGTAGGTGACTGGGTTTTGCTTTTTTCCCTACATTGTAAATGAGTTCAGGTTTTTGTGTGCAAGTTGAGTTGCTTTTAAAATGTTTTTAAAATAATGTTTAGAGGCAAAACACCCCGTGTAAGGAGAACTCAATTTTAAAACATGGATCTAAAAGGGCAATGATAACAACCTGAGTGACGGTGTCCATGTAAATACACCAACTATCATCTAATTTCTTTCAAATAAAATATTTATGTGTTACATGTGATTGTTAATGTGTTTCGTTTGATATTACTGATGTAAGCAAGATAAAGATACTGAAGCAACCCTGCCACCTAGTGGATGAAAATTAATTTAAATTTTTTTTTAAATCTGACGAGGAGAAAAGGATTTTGCTATTTTTGTGGATTTATGTGTTTTAATCTGAATGCGCTGTAGTTTAAAATATTTTACATATTATACATAACATCTGCTGATTTTTTTTTTTTTTTTTAAATGTATGATTGTGATTAAACAAGAAATCTACATACTGCTAATTTCAACCAGTGAACTGATAAATGTCCACAATTTTGTCATTAGGTCCCATAAACACTCAATAATTGAGCCAAAATAGCCTAATATTGCTGTTTCACATAACTTCAAACTACAACAAATGGATAACAAATGCCGGTCCTAAGGCATTTATCTATCCCTGACTCAAAGAATTTTTTTGGTTCCATTCACTGAGCCTCCCCATAAACTATTTGGAGCCCCCTGGTGAGCCTCACCTCCCACTTTGACCCTCTGGTTCAGTGTATGAACCATTTTAAACATTTCTGTAAAGAATTCCAATTTTACCAGAGCCCAAGGTGACGTCTTAAATTACTTTTTTTATCCAACCCGGCATTGAAAAACCCAAATATATTCAATATACGATAATATAAAACAGAGAAAAACAGAAATTCCTCACACTATTGAAGCTTTTCTTGATTTAAAATAATTACTTGAAGAATTCTCCACATTTCCTGTAGAATAAAATAACTGTTTAATCAACTGGGTGTTTTAGCTCTGGTTTGACTTTTACAGATGCCTTTTTTTAGTGTACAGGAATAAGTTCTACTGCAGCAAATTTACATGATAATAGTTAACAGTTATGAGAGAATGATTTTCAAATTGAAAAAGAATATCTGATGGGCTGTCTGTGAAATTCATGGCCAGAGATGTGTCAGCAACGGCACTGTAGAAGGGAAAAAAAGAAAAACAGTGTCAGAGAAACATGCATTAATAATTCAGTATTCATTTTAAGCTGTGCCTATATAATAGTATTAGGGAATCATTTTCTTAAATAGGACAACTGACGCTGTAATGCTTTTGTTGCACATATTTATTCGCACCCATTGCAGCACCCAGATTGCTTTATGCAGTACTTCTTCCAGCCAGCAGATGCCATAAATGGCAGGTCAACGACTGAATATGCCTCAATGGCAATCTGGATGAGTACCAGGGGGACCGTTTCTGTGTATTAGGCCACAGTAATGGTCCATAATGCTGATGATAAGAGAGAGCCTCGGTACCTGTTGTAGCTCAGAGGATGTAAGCAGGGTGCAGGAAGTCCTTGGGGACGATACCCACAGTGCCGTTCAGCTGGCCGACCCACCAGCCGTGAATGTTGTACTCCTGCACCAAAAATGAACAAACAAAACAACCATAAGTCTCCGAGGGGTCCGAGGACAAGTAAACGAAGCAGGATTTAGCACCAATGCAATGTTTCTGTCTCGTCTTATTAACGTTAAAACAACCATTCGAATGATGTGAACTGCAATTACATGCGGCCCTGATACCTTACAGTGGCTACTAAAATAATATGGTTATAAATGCCATTGTGCTGTAAAAACTCTGCTTTAGCAAAGCACATCCAGGAGAGTCGACTTCCCACCCGCACAACAGCCATGTACAATATTCTAATAGACACTGGGGTGAATTAGCCTTGAGGGCTTTCATTCAAAAATGGGAACAGACACTATTGAAACTGTGTCTAAAATAAAACAGCTTTTTTCTTTACTGCTCAGAAGCCGTAAGAACAGCCTGTTTCCCCACTAATTATAACAGGATTTCTGTACTGTTATTAAAAAAAGGAAAAGAAACAGGAGCGTTGTCTTTCATTTATAAATAGAAAATATAATGCCAATTGTGGGCCACAGATTAAATAAACTGTAACTCAAAGGGACCTCAGTGAAGTTAATAAAAGCTTGTACTGAAACACGTTTGACAGCTGGTAAAACAAAATAAGCATTACTATATCATTTTATAGACTTAATATGAGCATTATAAAGTATTGTTTATCCATTTGAAACATTTTCATTGATTGAATTCATAAAAACATAAAATAAAGGCATTTCATGCCATTAAAAAACACTTGACTTCTGTTTACGTTGTGAAGAATTACAATAAAAGCCTTTGACTGACTGAATTAAAACAGAATTTGTAAATTAAAAAGGAGGAATATATGTATCCTACAAGAAGAAAATATAATTTAGACACACGGAGCTGCTGTCGTTTGAAGCTAAAATTTCACCTACAAAATAAAGGCCACTTTTTGAGGTTAATGAAGGTTTAATTATTGTTGGCTGAATCAGTTAAATTGCTTTTTCCGATTTACATTTGAGGCAGAATCAAAATAAACTGAATCAAATTGTAAGATTTTATGTTGCATTTAATGATCACTGAAAGAATCAAAATTAATTCCATGTTATTTAAAATGTACACACTCCTAATACTTCATCTTTTATTAGTTAAATAATCAAGACATTAATTGAGAGTGAAAATATTTACGGCCCATTTAGAATAAAAAACATGCAGATATTTTATCGCTTTTCAGGATTTAAAAAAAAAAGGTCCATTTTGTACATTTTAGCCCTCTCACATAAGACTGAAATAACAAAATCTTTCATTCATTCAGTGCTACAAGCATTTTAGGGATTCACATTAACAACCATATGACCCTCTGATCACAGCAGTTGTGCTCTAACTACATCTGTATTAGATCAATATTTGGCCAGAGACCAGAGGGGCGTTAGAGACCTGCAGAGGAGGCACCAGCCGGCCGTCATTTTCCTGCCCTGATGGAACGGAGAGCCTGGCCACTCATCTCTTCCTCTGTTCTCCAGCAGATTGAGAATGGCTGCGCGCACAGTTTATCACGGCACTGAGGAGAAGCCGAAACGCTCAACCACACACGAGCACATACTACGTACGTGCAGGCACATGTGAGCACACACACATTTATGTTTGACGTTTTTGATAACTTAATGTCTCCGATTGGAACCAGGCTTCGCTTCTTGTTCTTACAGGTTCTGGTTGTAAAAACACACACGCTCTGACATGATGGACGGCATTTTGTCAAAGGTTCATCCTATCATCCGGTCCTGACACCTCTCTCGAGCCAGAGGAATGAGGCCTGCAGCTAATGAGTGGTGTTTGGACAGCAAAAGATGAATGGATCGCTTAGATAGTGATAAACCACAAGACTCAAGTGTTCTTACAGCACAAACAGGTACCCACAATGAGCTGATTGTCCATCCAGGCCTCATCGTTTTCCCCCACGAACCTCGCTGACAGCTCTGACTGGGATGTTCCAGTATGTTTGGCACTGTGACTGGCAATTCAGTGTGTGTTTGAGCTCATAACGCAGGGGAAAGTTAAGTCCGAAATGGTCTTTTTATGCTTCCCATAAGACTGTAGAGGGAAAAGCCCGGTTGCGGAAAGCTGGCTCTGGTTCCTTTTCGTGATAACGTGAACAGAGGAGGAGGAGAGGGGAGACAGACGGACGGGGGGGGAGGCATCAGAGAGAGGGAGCGAAACAGTTTTTCTCTCCCTTGGGGGCGTCGCAGCACTATTCCACCAACCGCAGTGACAGAGAGTTTTATTTATCTCCGTGGCCCATCTGTGCAGTCGGTCTCAAATTCTCCCTGAGAAAGGTCTTTTGGATTATCAGCGCCGCCATTTTAATACAACTGCTACATCACGGAGTGGGTGCCAATGGCAGTGGAAGTCTGTCAGGCGTGCAGAGTCCATCTTCCTCATACTTGAAATGGGTTCATCCAGAGTACACCTGCTGTAATAGGGACATTCCAAGAGGCGTGGAGAGTAAATTATCCAAATGACAAAAACTGTGCTAACTTCTCAATGTCCCCCTTCCTTCTGTTTGTTTTCCGCTTTTTGTCTTTTAGGTTGATTTGTATTTGTGTGATTTTGTGAAATGCTGAAAAAGCTGGGGCAAAGAACGGGCGCATTACGTCTCGTTGTGGCGCCTTGAATGACGGGACGAGTTGTTTAGTATTCGTCTGAGGCCGAAGTTGTTTCCTTCAAGATGCTCTGGGGTGTCCCTGAGTGGCTGAGCTCTGGCAAATGTCTGGTTTTATCTCATTAACAAGATGAGCCAGGATACACAGTGTGTGTTGTCTTGAGCGTGAGAGGTGACACATATCAGAGCCTGCGTTTGCTGCAACCTGGACGCAGATGAAATTGACCGTGTGTGGGAGCAGAGAGGAGGCGGGGGGGGCCAAACAGCGCCGTGTCGTGGCGGCTGCGGCGCGTTGACTCGTTGACCTCCCGGTGACTCCTCCGCCGAGAGCGGGGAATGAGCGTGGGCGGGGCTGGCACTGAGAGAGGGTTGTCATGACAACACCTGCAGTGTACCGGCGCGATCGTTTATTTACCACTCAGGGGGCTGGCTAATGGTGGCATTCTGATAGGCCCATCGCTCATGTTCCCGACCGGAGGACGGATTGACAGCTACCCGAGCCTGAAGCGAGGAGAAGGTGAGTCGAGGTTGGCTGGATGCGGTGAAAGACAACGGGTGTCACGCCACCATCACCTACCTAAACAAAACACAGCTTTAACCTCTCTCTTTTAGAAAATGCATTTTTTGGGGTGTGGAAATGTAATATTCTGTAGAGATGTCCTCTTCCTTTCCTTTCCTTTCTCATCTTGTTCCCAAACACACACACATGCTGCCAGATGAAACACACACACACACACACACACACACACACAATCCCAAATGCATACAAACTAGGAGGAGTGCTAATAAGCCTGACACATGAGGCATCTTTCCTCGGCCACCAGCTGACTGAGGCAGGCCTTGGGCGTGATGGAGCGCAGGAAGTCTCTCATTGCCCTGCCGCTGAACCCGCCGCCTGGGTGTTACAATCCCTCCCTCCCTCCTTCCCTCCCCATCACCAACCCCCTCCTTCCTATCCCCCTCTTTCCATCTCTCCTGTAGCAACCTTTCCGCTTGCATCCTGTTTCTCTTTTCTTTCTTTCTCCTCTACATAGACTCATCAGATGCACTGCAGCTCTCTGCAGTTCTTCCATCATTGGTCAGTCTAACAAAGAAACATGGACACCTCTACCAGACAGAAGCACATGATTTGTAACCCGTTATAAGGTTAGCAAGCTCTCCTCGCTGCTCACACGGGTGCACCTCACAAATGACCTGACAATACCTGAAACTGTGGGGAAAGGTGCTTATTTTCATAGTGGTTGTAAGGATTCTGTGCCAAAAGAAACCTTGTCGAAATCTGTTGAGAAAAATGGATGATAATTCTGCACGACCAGAGATTAAAATGGCTACTTAGTGTCCATTTTTTCCAAGTGGGCTTTTAATTAAATCAGTGAATTGGCTTCAAATTGGAAACATGACAGAGCATGAGAACGTTTGAAAATATCTCAGGGACGATGAGATTTAATAAAAAGAAAACCTACTTGCTCCTTTCTAATGCACGCCTGGGATTACAGATAGGTCCTTAACTTAATAGCAATTTAAAGTGGATTTGTGTATGCCACTGAGTGTCTGTAATGATGGCTGTTTACGCCGCCCCTCATTTATAATAATTAAGCAGAATGGATTGGGGGTGGGTTGCTCGGACGTGGTTCTGGGCTATTGGCTTGGGCTGAATAATGACCTACTGTAGTTGACCGGGGGATGACCGCTGCCTCCTGCATGACCCCAAACCCCAGACTCACCCCCTGCTACTTTGGGTGGTAAATAGGATGTCTTGCCTGTCTATAGCGTCTTGGTGTCTATGGCCACAATAACAGCTAGGGGTCTTTAAATGGGTGTGTGACAGAGAAAAGGAGAAAGGAGAGGGGGTACAGGGTTCACACAAAAGAATAAAGAGATCCACTCTCTTTGTCTCTCTTGCTTGACTTTTCCCATCTGATTGTTTGCCCACTTTGCCTTTTCTTCAGCTGCATTGAGTCGGTGTGACCTGCGGGGCAGCGGCCAAAACATCTTGTAAAACATAGAAGAAAGACCGTCACAGGTAGCCTGGATGGAATACGAGTGGTCATTTCAACACAAAATTAGTTTTAGTATTTCTTATTGCAATTTCTAATATCATAACTTGTATTTACACAAGACTGTAAATCACTGCAAGTGAATCTTTAAGGCTGTAAATCAGCTTTTGGTGTTTGTATAAGTTGTCATTTAATAAAACCATCCTACTAGAAACTGCCACAAGGTGTCAGTGGTGTCCATGTTCTCATTGTCTGTAACAAGCAGCTGGGCCGTCGGCCAAATGTGATGTGATGCTCTGCTTTGGGAGACGCGCCTGATTGGCGGGCTGGTCTCCCTCTCTGTGGGTTTTGGTTGGGCGGCGGATGGAGGAGGAGGAGAGGTGAGCACGGCGATGGATAGAACGAGGAAGAGGTGGCAGCAGCGCTTGCCAGAGTTTTAAGGACCCTGGATGGGTTTGTGCCATAAATCTCTTCCCACTCCATCCCGCCGTTCTCCATGAGTGCCCGTGGGAATACAGGAATGTGACAGCTGACCTGTAGAGCCCATGTCTTTTGATTCTGGACACATAAATTAGAGGGCAAGAATGCAGGACAACCTTATGGTTTAGTGTGCGACATGGCCGAGAAAGTATACAAGCATTACACGTGTCAGGGGGAAGTGAAACAATAGCTTTTAGCCATATAAAAAAAATTAATACAACACATTAAACCCTATGAAAAATATCTCGTTGCATGTTTCAGGCTATGATGCAGTGCAAACATGTGTGAAACATCTCAACAATTTAAATGAAGTTAAAAAATCTGGGAGTGCGTGAAAAACGGAGCTCACCAGTATTTGTCATCACACACTAAAATGTCAAAGTAAAGCCATAATGCGCATTAGAAAAATGCAAGCTCTTAGAAATGAAATGCCACAGCAAAACTCACAAGACAGATTTCACGGTGTGTTTCTACCTCATGTATCAGCGTGCTGAGCATCACCATCGAGCTCTGCGGAAAGTAAGTTAGGCATCGCTGAAACCGGCGGCAGAGGCACACTGCGAGATTAATTCTCTTGAACTAATGGGATTCATATGAGTTGTGAGGTTCCTAATTTATTTATTTTGTCAGTGATACACAGATATGCGCACGCAAACACACACACAGCAACACACAAGGGGGGGAAAAAACACAAATACAGTAAAAATGCCCCCACTTTACAGTAAGTGAGAGATCAATAATGATGGATAAGGGCCTTTTATACAATCGGCATGTTCTCCTCAGTTCACAGCCATATGACACCACGCCTGTGGCTATCCCATTCTGCACTTCAGCAGTCAATCACATCCCAGCTTTAAAAATAACAGTTTGTTAGCACCATTGATTTAGCACTTAGAGCGTGTCCTTATTACCTTGTAATTATGGTCAGTGTTGACATAACAGCACAGACAACCAGGCCTCCCACCCTCTAAGCAAATTTATGGGCCCTGGTTTTATTACGGCCATTTCATGTGTCTGGGTCCCCAGTTAAGCGACAGACTTGAGTTCTAGCCAAGGGCCCGTATTTCACTCATCGAGGTCAGGGTTCTCAGGAACCCCCCGTAAAACTGAACGCGGGGCCAGTGACAGGGCCTGCGTGTACACACAGACGACGCAGGGAAACCCTCCCCAAGGGCTCATTAAAATAAGTAGCCGATTACGGTCTATAATCCAAATAATGCTATTCATGAGGGAAATGTGATGCTTTTAGGATGCAAAACGGGACACGGATGGAGTCCTGTTGTCACACAAAACCAAACATTCGGAAGCCGCCCGGAGATCACCTCTTAATAATTTACAACCAGACCCTCGCTTTAAATCCATTAGAGCATAGTTCGAATACTCTCTCGTGGTCTGTCACTATGTTATGACTTCAGCGTACAGCTTGACAAAACAAGAGTAATCTTTGTCATTAAGATTGTGAGATACTAAGTCTTGCTCCCAAACCTGGACTTGTTTGCTTTTAAGGTCTTCAGTGAAGCAGGAATCTGATCCGTACAGTGAAAAATAATACACCGGGCAGGGCTGAGGCTGTTTAAGGCGGATCTGTAGCACGGAGCCAGGTCCCCTTTGTTTCCCCAAGTACGCCGCCTTTGGCATCCTTACGTGAAAAATGGACATGGCTGTTTTGACATTTCCCCCCTATCAACCAGCACACACAGACAGAGAAGGCTGGCATCTCATTAATCTGGCACTGCCAAGAGAACCTCAATTAAAAGTCCATCTTCTGTGAGGAGCATATTTCACCTGTCACATCTGTTCTTATAAACAAAAGGATCTATTTTGATAACGTGTGTTTATATCGCTAAACCTTGACTTCTTTAAATTTACAATAAAAGTGAAAATATTATTATTTCTGAACTAAAAAAATCGCCCAAAGTGAAAATATCACAAATAATTAAAATTCAGTGGCTCCAACTGCTGATTAAAGATGCAAGAAATCATGAGGTTGAATACATAATTTTTCAATCTCACCACATAATTACTAACAAAAAAAAAGTGAATCTACCGTAATGTCTTCCTCCCTCTGCTCTTCAGATAATTTAGCCTAAACACAGAACATGATGATTCAATTTCAAACAGACCAATAGCAACAGTCTGGGAAGGAGTCCCTGTACGCAGCAACGAGTAAAAGCGCCCAAATTACAAGCCATTGATTTCCAGTAGGGTGGCTTTTCACTGGTAGATACTCTGCATGTAACTACAAGATGGCCATAAAACACGAGGAAATAGATTGAGAGAAAAGAGCTGAGATGCAGGATGGCTTCACCTGCAGTTTATGTCAAACAGAAAGGAAGAGCTTCGCATGGCTGCCTAGTCAATTAACCCCAGTGATAGAGGCTCCATAATGAACAACAGCACCATTACGCAGCGCCCGAATGGCACTTCACCCTAGTGGCCCGGGAAAAGACAATGCCACTGTTGGTGCTTCACCGCTGCATCGAGATACAAGTGCTCACTAACAGAGGAATTTAGATGTTGGGGATATCAGCATGTTCAGAATGTAAATGAGGACAAAGTGATTACTGGAGTTGATGTTGTTTAACCCTTAAATAATTAAACATTTTACACATTTGCATCCCATCTTACTCATTTTAAACTACTGTAATTGCTCCTGTAATTGAGTCAATACTAGTTAAAGGCACAATCATGAATGGTTCCCATTAGAGATGAACGGCAAAAGAGTGGAAGAGTGTCCAAAACCCCCAGAATACTGAGACAAGTTTAAATAACCTCTTGGATTATCTCTGCTGATGGTGATGCTGACCTTGCTAATGATGTAGATGAGATCTCCTCTGTGGAAGTCCAGCTCGTCTGGCTCGTCGGCCTGGCAATCCCATAAACCCTGGTAGTAGTTAGCGTAATCTGATGACCAAGCTGAGAGGAAATGCAGAGCACAAATTTAAACAAAAGAACAACACAATGTTCTGGTGTCACGTGTTGCCAAACTGGAAATGTTCTCATAATGATTATTATTATTGTCGTTATCATCTCATAAGACTGTGGTTCTGACCTGTTCTGTTGTTCTTGTCACTGCTTTCATCCACCGTATCGGGAAAACCATCCTCTAAACAAACAAAACACAACAAAATTGTATTTGTGACATAACATGTACCTATGTCTGAGTTAACGTTTATGTGCAGGAAGCATTTTCTTATTAGATATCAGGACCCCAAAATCTTAATTTCATTATTTAACAGAAAAAACATGAAAAAATAATGATAAGAAACATTACCTGCTGTGGGCCTGACTCAAGTAAAAACTACACATAATGACAGAAAATAAATGACAAAATAAAAAATAAATTAAATGGATCATCATCAGCCAGTCGCTCCACATGACACAAGATGTCTGTTTTTCTTTAACCACACTGAACTCCTTGATGAGGATCACTTTGTTCAGATTTATCAGAGACCCAGGCAGGAAAAGTTAAAGAAAGAGAGGATGTCTTTAAGGCACGCGGAGGCGGACGTGTCATTGACTGCGGGGCGTGGCACCCGGTGGTCTGAGAGGTGACACAGTGATATGCCTGCCCTCTGTCTCCCACATCCATCCTTAACAGTAGCAGGCTGACAGCAATGCCACAACCCAGCAACACTATCCACCTTCCAGCACAACCTGCGGCTCTGCTTCCAGGAAGGACGACACACACACACACACACACACACAGATGCCCATATATACTATTTATCCACATGCATATTTGTGATTGTGTACAGTTTGTGTTATGATGCAGAAAGCTTGTTTTGTGTTTCCTTCTCAAATACACACACAACTGACACTTTCAGGTTGCTGCACATGTCATGAACAACAAAACAAATGTCTAGATATTATTATAAATGTAGACATGGTGGATAATTATGGCTTACCTAATGAAATATGAAATGTTACTACACAAAAAGAGAAAACAAATAAAATTATGCTTGCAAACATTTGTTCAACACTCTTCAACTGCTGTACAGATGAGCATCCTTCTGTCGTGAGGCCACCGCTATGGCCTAACGGTTTCTATATCAAAGTGATTTAATTTTCCAGTCAATAAAATCAGTCATCAGCACCAGAGCCAATACCACAATCGCTATGCAATTTGCCTGCAACCGAGCCATGTTCGGAATTTCGGAGCCGACAAAACTGAGGAAGCTCATCACAGAGAAAATTATGCTTCCCTCCCACTCGACCTTTCTTCGCAAGTTTGGCTACTTCATATGCAAAATGTATCTGACAACGGTGCAATTTTGCTAAAATTTCCAGATATTTAATGTTAAAAAATTATCTTAGACATGAAGGAAAACTCTTGTTAAGTAATCTTAAACATTTACGTGAGCAGGGAATTAAATAAAGTCTAACAAACTAACAAAACACAGTCACTGCATTGTTTCTATCCAGGAATATTTCTCTTTGCTAAAAAAAAAGGAAGGTTCTTCAAATACAAACACAGTCAGCTTTCCTCGTCTTTTGCGATTTTGATCACTGAAAATAACCATAAAAATTTAATAACTTAACAGTATCTAATCACTGTGTAGAAGCTGTAAGTGAGGAAAGTGAGGTGCAGAATGATTGATAAGTGAATGGGTGAGAAAGTGAACGAAAGAGCCCGTCATTCGATATGCCATCTGTGGTCAGAGTCTGTACCTCTTCCCAGATGGCTTTGAACGCTGGCGTGACAGTCTGAAGACTGATTTCCCTCTCACCAGTGATTTTGGCAAAGGTAATGTACTCACTGAGTGAAACAGAATCTTGATGTATCTTATTTAATAGAAACAGTGATGGATGATGGCCCTGAGAAGATCAGATCACCCCTTTTGTCCTTCTCGGGATCTTGTAGCCACCCTGACACATGGGACTCAGCAGGGACTCACACGCACTGTGCCGGAGTCTCGTAACATTCTCAATCAAACTCTAATTCCTGTTAAAGATGTGACATTAAGAGCTCCAGAACTATTTTAAGCCCTGAGAGATGCAGTTTTTACCCCCTTTCAATTAAATTGCTGTTGCTAGGCAATTTTAGCCAAAACTCTGCTTAGTGGATTGAATTGTAGGCTATTTGTTGCCTGGCAACATTAGCTAATTGGACGTTCTCTGACAGAGCATTCGGTGCTACCCGGCTCTCGCTGATTTCAACAACATAACTGTTTCTCAACAGATAGCTCTCAGTGAGATGAGGAGGGAGACAGAGGAAGCAGATTTCTAGGCAGTGTGAGGTGAATCTTCCCTTCCTGCCCTTTGTTGCTCTGCAACAGCCACCTCAGTCCTGACAAGCCTATTAGTGTTGCTTGATTTAAAATGAGTGATCAGTCTGGGTGCTGTGGTGAGAGCGAGGCACCTGGCAGCAACTTTCACAGCCAGGAGAGATCATCACATATATTTCTTGTTGCAAAAATCCCTTAGGGCTCGAGTTTGTGTGAGGCAAAGCGACTGTGTCTATTTGTCTGACTGAGTATCATTGTGAGTGCAACCTTCCTGTCTATTTATCTGTGTGTGTGTGTGTGTGTGTGTGTAGGTGCATCTCTGCGTGCAAGGCAACCACATCCTCATACCTGGCAGCACCTCGTAGATATCCTCGTCAACATCCCCCGTCTCCTGCCCTCCTCTCTGAGAGGCCTGGGCAGCACTGGGCCGAGGTAGGGGGGGGCCACCCAACACCTCAACGTCATCATAGGTCTCCTCTTCCTCTTCCAAATCCTCGTCATCATCGCAAGGGATGGAGGAGGATCTGAGATCTATGAGCGAAGGAGAAACAACGTGATGGCCGGCGTTAGTGTAAAGATGGAGCACAGGGCGGCACAAAAGACACACACATGCATTAAAGGGTAAAGTAAGAGAAATGCTTGACGGGCCCTGACTGCACAACAGGCTAGATCACGTGCCATATAGTAGCAGTGACAAGAACCGGAGGCTTGAACTATGGCTGCATTTAACAATTATTTTCTTTATCTATTAATGTGTTTATAATTTTTTAGATAAGCAATTTATTTTAGAGTCTGAAAAGGTGACGATTCTTGTTTCTTTTTTTGTCAGACTGGTTTGTCAACACTACAGTAAAAAAAAACTGTTAATGTACAATATATATAAAACAGAGAAAAGCGGCAAATCTTCACATTGGAGAAGTCGGAACCGGCAAACATTTGACATTCTTGCTTGAAATTACTTAAATATCAACTGTTGATGATCAAAAAGTTAGGTGAAAAGAGGAGCAGGTGAATTATCATCTCCATATTTCATATATCTTCTATTTATCATTAAAATCTGAATTTTGAATGGGGTTTTTCCGTTGTCCTCTTTATTAAGACGCATACCACATAATCACATTTTATAGTGGCTTTCGTGGTATGTCACACCCCTCTCTCTCTCTCTCTCTCCCGCCTTGCTTGTCCTATCTGTATCTCTACTATCACCATCACATAAAGGCAAACTGCCAAATTACCAAAAATGATCTTATAAAAAAATAATTAAAATAAAGTTCTTGGAAGAGCGACCACAAAAATTAATAATAAATAATCATCTACATGTTCTGGATCAGACTGCATGTTGTAGTAAAACTGGGCAGGGAGGAAGTAAGACAAACTGCCAAGTGTCTGTTACTTCCCGCAAATCAGTGGCCCGGCCCAAGCCCATTTTAGAGTACACTAGGCACGACCGCTCGCTCAGATGGAGGAGCCGTCTCATTGGAGGCGACTGGCCACTGTAACACAGGGTATCAGGTCCTCTGCCGTACACCAGCGGCCAAGCAGAAATCAATGTCACTGGAGGATAACCAGAACATCTACCAATCAATTTCCTGTAAGTTGGAATTCGGTAGGAGGGTTAGGGGAGGAGTGGTTGGGGGGTGGGGGTGGAGGTGAACTAGAGCTACATGATAGTGCACATGTCACAGTGGGTGACATGTCGAATGAGGAGATGCAGGACTCGTGCGTTCGTCGGTGCAGTTGGTGATGGATCAGGTGGTTTTCATCTGAGTCAGAGATGATAAAGAGCTCCCTTTCATTTCTGACCTTTCTGCCCCTCGTAAACACAAGCAAACTTTAGAAGAAAATTTAGACAAAAGAAGGTTGGGCGGTTTAACTGTATTAACCTATGTGGCTTTTAAAAAGTCAAATCAAGTCAATTTTATCAATGTGGCTTTACATCAGAACATATGACATATTCTATCCTTAAACACTTGAATGAAATAAGGACACAAACTACGAGAAGCAACAAAGCAAGGAACACTGAATGGTTAAAAAGTACAAAAGACATCCTGGCTTACCTTCAAGTACAAAATTTATTTGCTTCACCCATTCTCTGGCCTCTTGAGGACTGCTGGCAGTGAACTGGTGGGAAGAAGTGGCAATAATGCTGCAATTATCATCATTTCAGAGGGTGCATTGACACGGAAATACAAGTCCTGATTTTTTTACTTTGAAGCACAAACACCAACTCTCTTCCTAGCTGTCTAATAAGGAACAAAAAGGGCAACTAGAAATTTCCTTTTGAAATAGCTGTGAAATTAAAGTAATATAAATAATCTACATATCAATATTTACTGACTGGCAAAATATAGCCAAGCTAATAAAATGTTTTCCAAATGGATTTAGATTAAAGCCTGACTGATACTGGATTTTTGAAGACAATACAAATATTTGAGAGTTATAATATGACAAAGATAATGGTACATTGCTAATATACAGCATAAACAGGCTATGTTCAGTAGCAAGTGTCCCTTTCAGAGTGAGGTGAAGCGTAGCGGTTGTGCTCGCTTCATGCACACGCCCGCCCGCCACCGAAGTTGAATTGTCTTGAACTTTTTGTACGCGACGCACAGCGCAAATCATTGAAAGAGAGACTGATCCTCGCTGTTTGTGAGTGTCCTGAATCTATTGCTGTTTACTAAATAGTTATCAAGACATCAACAGGTAAACTTATGTAGCCTATAGTTTTAACTTAAGTTAAATAGGCTACAGCTGTGTAGCGCACAGAAGCCGTTGCCATGGTTACTATCCACAGCGCCTGCAGTTTACTCGAGGAGCGCTTGTCTCCTGTTCACCTGAGAGAACCCGCGGGGGCCAAGCGACTACGTTATGATTTTAAGAACGTTCCTAAGACCAACATCTTCCCCAACACTAATCAGCATGCAGTGTGCAGCTATCCACTTCGCTGTGGCGTTTGATCGCTTGTCTTTCTTTTGTTTATCTACTTCTCCCACACGCTGCATCCAGCGTAGTCTGCCGAAGCCTCCCTCCGCTGCTTGTTTGGGTGGGTGATTTGCAGGCTGATCCTATGACCCATGTGCCTAGCCCTTATTTATTTAATCATATTCACATATAAGGCTCCAACTATTTCAATTACCATTTAACCTGACCATTATTTTCTTAATTTATCAATTAATTGTTTGCTAAAATAAAAATGTCACTAAAGCTCAAGTTGATGTACTCGACTGTCTTGTTTCGTCTGATGCATAGATTCACAGTCAAAATAGTTTCCCCATAATTTATTTGTTGAATTACTAATCGATTCATCCTTTCAGATCCAAACACATGACGTTAAAGTACAAAAATAAACTCGTCAGTGCTCTCTAGTGGACCTAAACAGTAATGAAGACACCCATACCAAAATATCAAGCTGATGTATCAGTGGCACTGTAATTTAGATTTTATATATTTCCACTACAGAAGAAGGTCTAAGGACACTTCCACATCTTCAAAATGTCTAAATTCCATTTCCAAAATAATATAAATCAATTATATTCCTTTACTTGAATTCCCTGACACTTTTATTTAGTAATCCAGGCATGGTCAGTAATACAGGCATGTTGTGGAAATACAGACCTGAAAAGACCTCAGTCCGGGAGCAAAGAGCTCAAAACAGGCATTTCTTTTGGAGTCTTTTCTCAGGTTGGTCACCAGCTGCACATTGTAGTCCATGATATAAAAGGAACCCTTCTGTTGTTTGTCTGTAGAGAGGAATACATGTAGGATGTTATCTGGTTCAATATCTCAACCTATAGATGTTCCTGTATGTTGGCATTTCAAACAAACCTTTTTCACTCCCAAAGTAGTAGAATATTGAATTGTTCAGAACACACCATCTCTTTTGCCACTCTGAGCCGAAGAAGCTGTGATCTACACACACAAAAAAAAAGTGCGTGATGATCAATGAAAATAGATCAAATGGAAAATTACTCACATGAATACCATTCATAATGTGTATATATTCAAATACTTTTATGGTTTCTTTTATTCTGCTCAGGTGCCAGATGATTGTGGTTCTCCATGTGTACTCAATAACCAACCATCTCGCACTCCAAGTCACTAAAACAGTCAGCATTACTTGATAAAAATACTTGACCCAAGGCTGGTATCTATCTGCTGCTATACCTCTTCGTTTCTTCTCCAAATAGCCATGCTTCAAGATGTTGCTGAGGTCCTGGACTGCCACAGGGGGGATGTCACCCAAATCTGTGAACAGAAGCAGTTAATTTGTCCATAAAACCGTAAAGAAACGCCCATCACAAGTCCCCAGAGCCCAAGGTGACCTCTTATGTCATGTTTTGTCCATCCAACAATCCAAAACATGACATAAAAGAGAGATGAGCAGCAAATCCTAACATTTTAGAAGCAAAAACCAAAGAAAGTTTTGTATTTTTCATGATAAATGAGTTACAACGATTAATTTGTTATTGAAATGGTTTCTGTCAGTCAATTAATCAACTGATTGTTTCAGCACTAACTCCTAATAAGTAGCACTTAAAATGTTCTTCATTCAAAAGGCAACACACACACACACACACACACACACACACACACACACTATGAATATAAAGTCTCCAACCCTGTGGATCAAATACATCCCTGCAAGGCTTTAGGAAACTGGGATCAATACATTTACAGTGCTGCTGAGCACTGCAATCCATTCATCTGCTCACATTGCACTTTTAATGGGAGTAGCCTTCCTGCGGAAATTCAAACAACTCTCTTCAATTTGCAAAGTCAAGCTTTAAACACAACAGGACAATGGCACAATTTAAGTGGCTTAAGTTAATTAGTGCAGTTGTTAGGCTTCCATTGCACAATGCACTTCACATAGGATTTAACCTACTGGGCCATTTGTGATGGAGAGACGCAGCTTTAAAAGGCACTAAATATATTTTTCTGTTTCGATTTGAAGCCCCAGTAGTAGTGGTAAAAACAACACCGTACATGTAAAAGATTTATTCCTCTTCAGTGGCAGTAAACACATGAGCCCACCGATAACTGTGCTATATTCAAAGTTTACAAGATATTTATGGCCTATGAGCAGCAACGTTAACTGCGATAAACAGCAGGGTTACAGCTATGTACTGACACTCCCACACACAAACATTCACACACCTGGAGAGCCTCTTATAGCAGAGCAGATAAACAAGCTTCAACACTTATGTATACCCAAGATGTCTCTCACTCCTGTGCATTTTTAAAATAAGGTGGGAGGGAGGGTTCTAGCAGAAAGTGATGGTGTAGTTCTCCTTTAATATGACTTTTTTTTGGCATTTTCACTTTTACGGGACAGTTGGAATGTAACCAGAAATGTTGTACAGAGGTTTAATGGTACTTCACCACTCAACCACCAGGATGCCTCAAGACAAAACAGTTTTTACTAGAAATCTGCTTACTGACCCTATTTTCTAACCTTTAGCCATTAGAGGGTAACTTGTAAAATTGACCTCAGATTGGCCTCAAGGGCCACCTTCCGCCCCATGCTTCAACAAGAGTATCTGGCTTTTCCATGTGTCAAAAACAAAGCTCAGCTTCCTCTGAATTCATTAGTCAACCGGCATTAGCCTTGCTAGGAAAGAAAGCAAAGGGAGAGCAGGAACCGACCTTTTTAGTTTGAAACACAGGAACAATTTAAAGACCATTTACACTAGTCAGTGTGACACCTCATTCAGACCCCTGGTGACAAGGGGAATGCCTGGAGTCCATCCCCCTCTCAGACCTCAGGACCTGTTTAACTGCTGGGAAAACCCAAACATGTCATCCCACAACTTGGTCCTCTGGTTTAAACAGAGAGCATCCCCCAACATTAGACAAACAGGAACCTCTTTCTCATTCATAAAAATCAGCAGCATGAAAAAGGCTCCCAGTTGAACGCTCTCTGAAGAGTGGTTGCTTTGAGTCTATTTTCAGCGAGTTTTGTCAGAATAACTTTGATCTAGAGAGAAAAATAAAGCTGATATTGGCGTTTTGCTTGGCTAACATTCCAGAGATTTAAGTTCACAACAACGCAGCCTGTGATCCGGTAACCCCGCACCGCTTCAGCTCGTGGGCCTGACAGATGAGCGGGTCATTCCAGAGCAGAGCCCCAGACACCTCACGGCACAAACACGCTCACATATCATCAGCTTGCCTTTGTGGATGGACTGACCGGTGACACTATAAATACAGAGGTGCTAAGGACTGTTATGTCAAAGAGAACCCAATTCAGTACATCATAACAAACAGCGGTCATTATGCTCCCCCACCTCATCTATCCGCCGGCAGTCCGTTCATTTTTTTCTGGGCCTGCTTCCCTGTTGTGGCCCACTTCTAATCCCCTCATCTGTCTGCTTCCCTTGCTCTTCATTTATCTCAAAGGTCGAGTTCGGGTAATAGATGAGGAGGTACAAAATCAACAACGGGTTCACTCTGATCTGCTTGAGTCAATAAACATTACACATTCATGCGTGTTCAACACTTAAACGTCGAGTGACCTGACCTCACTTGACTGTCCTCATTTGTATGAATCGCAAACAAGGGTGCGACTTGAGTGGGTGCAAACGTAAGACTTTTGTAAAAATGGAAACATGTACACAATAGTTCAAGATTCTTCCACAGGGTCGCAGCACAACCTAAAAGCATCACACTGCTTAATGCCGCTTGTTCCCACCCTAAACAAAAACAGGATCTGATTGGTCCTGAGTTAACATTGCCTCCTTTAATGAAAATTACACACTAACACCTCTTTGGGACCCATGCAATTTTAAGTAGATATTCAGAGGTAATGTTATTTGAAAATGTGTAATTTAGAGCGTTAAAAAACCCCAACAACCATCATGGTGTTTGAGTTTTGAGTCTGACTACAGGCACAGAGAGACACATTAATGCATCTAATTAAGGCCTCATCAAAATCGCAGACAGACGGCACTCTTTCATAAAAATCATAAATTGCGTTATCAATTATTCAGGGCAATGCCATGACTTCATTTTCATCCTTTTTGCGTTTTAATTAGCACCATCCACAGCTTTGGTATTGACATTAATTTGATGGCAATTTATTGATATTTCAGCATAACCTATTTAGCTGAGTGCAATTACCAACAAAGAGAAGCAGATAGATGTGATGTTAGAGTCGCATCACGTGTTTTGTAAATCAAGGTGAGGAGCTGCTACAGGCCAACGCTAACTGAATCTAACTGCTCTCAGTGGTCATCAGCAAGAAAAGATATGAGTCACCCCATTTCCAAATGGAAGAAAAGAATCAATAGAAATTGACCAGAGATATGTGTTTAATTGATCCTGACAAAAGGGAACATTTCCATAAGCAAGCTGACTTGTGTGCTGATAAGTGCTCCGTCCTGTTGCCTTCCTGAACTTGTTTTAAACGCGGAGGGGATACACAACAATGCATCCAAGCTGCCAGCGGTTTTGCCATAGCCGCAATCTCTCATTTGGTTATTCACACTCTCTCAGCATGGTGTTATGAGCTCAGCAGTTGATCCCGCAAGAAAAGGCTGATTTATGTAAGCATGACCAGAGGGAGTTAATGTATTCTCTCATTAAAATCCACTTTACTCAGGCTGAAAGTCAATCAAAGGCTGGATAGAGAGTGAATCAAAATGAAGGGAAATGGTTGGGTAGGAGGACTAATATGTTACATTAGATCTAACGGTGGTCATAATGCAACAAAGATGTTATGAAAACACAAAAACCCACTGAAGATGTTGATGTTGCTATATAAGATGGAAAGTGAGTGGTCGCTTTACTGTCTTTTCTGTAATACAGTAGGACGGCCGAGTGGAGCGACACCAGAGTTCAGTCTCAGCAGGGAAGCATGCACTTCCAGATGCAGAAACCACTATTGTATCCCCAGATATAGAAACATTTAAGTTAAGGCCGCGAGAGTCAGGGGAGGTGAAAAAAAGCCCTTTATTTATCGGGATAAAAATGTGTGTTTTTTTCTGCTGCTTTTTCATGTTTACAACTGTTGTACATAAAAATATGTTCCCTAAAATCATGCAGATGTATACTGTATATAATTTAATATACTGTTAGAGAAAGATGTTGTGTTGTATGACGTTGATGTCTGACACACAAGCAGAGTCTTGTAATACCTTGTGGGATGGGCAAAACATTTGGAAATACATGGAAATAAAATTAAATGATAATTGTTTTATCTTGCTGTGTCCATAAGTGTATATCTAGTCTAGTCTGCATGCCTGTGATATCTAATATTGGTTGTCTTGTGTGCCTGCTCTATTCTTGTGTCATGCCTCTTTAGTATTGCTAGTCTATATTTTTGTAAGGTTATACTGTATAGTTATGATTGTCATGGTCGCTGTATGTGTCTGTTCTAAAGCGGCTTTTATTGGGTTCCTTTTTATTTATGTTGTAATCTACTATATGCGCTTTGATGTTTTATTTGTCTGCTGTAGGGCTGCAACTAATCATTATTTTCATTATACTGTCGATTATTTTTTGATTAATTGTTTGGTCTATAAAAATGTCATAAAATACAAAATATTGCCCATTACTAGTTCCTTAAGCCCAAGTTGACATATTCAAGCTGCTTGTTTTGTCCGACCAACAATCCAAAAAGATATAACATTATTACTATTACTATTCTCAAAAACTAAGAAAGCAAGCAAATACTAACATTTGAGAAGATGAAACTAGTGTATTTCTGGTTTATTTACATTTTAAAAATGCCTTAAAAAGATTATCAAAACTGATGCTGATTATTTTCTCTATCGACAAACCAATGAAATACACTAGTCTGCTTTTTGTTTCTTTCTTTTAATTCTTAACATTAACCTGCCCAAGGACTGAGAATGAAAATGATCATTTTGGCTAAATATGGCTAATCAACAACACACAGAGAAATAAATAAATAAATGAATAAATAAAGTAACTAAAGAAAAGAGAAAATCTTTTTTTTTTTTAATTCACATGTATAGAGAAAACTACCACATACTGCAAGCAAAGTCTACGAGAAAGTACATCAGTTAACAATTTATGAGATAAATACTGTATTTCTAGTGTATGTGAAAGAGTGACCCCCCCCCCCCTTACAGCACAGGAAGGAATCAAAATCAGCAAGTTATCATATTTTTTTTTCTCCTGTGCTTAGTCCTTGAGAACGGGAGCTTTCACAGTGGCTTTCGGGGCAAAAAGTATTGCATTGAATGCAGCATCAGGGGGCAGGACCTGACCCCCGTGTGAAC